AAAAGCCACAGCTAAAAGCTAACGTACACGAAATGGATGTTGTACTAATATGTATGGATGGATACTACGTTCGGCTGCTTTTTACTTCGCCTCATCACTGCTATCGTTGCATTCGATCCCCGACATGTAACTATGGAAACTGAATTTTCTCATTCTCTATCTATCTATCTCTCTTTTTGACTCTGTTACTCGCACTTTTTTCTGCCCTGAATTTGTCGAACGTCGAATCCATTTGAGTTTTGTGATCCCAAGCTGTTTTTTTTATTCTTATTTGCGCTTTCACACACAGTCATTGTTTCAGAATGGCGTACATGAAACCATGTCCCGTTTGTTTGATTACAACTTTGCCGAATTCGAAGCGAAAACAATAATAAAAAACGAACAAATATAGAGTTAGTAAAAGAGAGAAGGAAGTGAAAAAGAGAGATTCATCGAAATTGGTTATAGCTTGCCAATTAATCTACATCAATTCAATTCTTTTTCATTGAATACATTACGATTACTACTGCATAATGTGTTGCATTTATTGAACGCTCGTCTGTCATAACTGTTTGGTTATGCATTGTAGTCACTAGACGATTTTCAAATTAAACTTTTCAGTAGACGTTCACTCAATTTTGATTCAAAAACTTTCCGAATTAACTATGGAAAAGATAAAGGAAAACTATTTTCAAAAATATTACATTTGCATCGATTCCTATTACCACATTGACAAAAAAACGTCTCTGTTTCGTTGAATATTCCATTAGTAAAATAATGAATTCGCATTCGTTTAATGAGGGAATTCCGTATAACCGGATATTTCAGCGAAATATATGTGTGTGTTTTAAATTGAAAAAGTTCAAAATCATGAGTGTTGCACCCGGGAAATGAACGTTTCGTTGACACATGCAAAATAACTGACGGCGAATCTTGATTTTTGGTAAATTTTTCGCATAAATTGCACCAGTTCAATGACACACCCGTTCGGATTCTATTGTTAGAAAATATAATAAAGAATAAATGTGTGCCGGTTGAAAAGTAAACGTCAACAATTCAATGATACTGTATCAAATAGCTAAACTCAACATGAATTATTGCCAGAAATATGGTGGCATGTAGTAAATATTCTGCGCACCACTGTACTGTCACATCAGTGTGATAGAGATAGTGTGTGTGTGTGTGTGTGTATTCACGCTTATGATGTTGACGGATATACCAAAAATAAACTGACTTCACATTTTGTCTCGCATTTTCGGTTGGTTCTCTGGGGAAACAAAAAGTACAAGCAAAATTACTTTGAATGCAACGCATTCCATTTGCCGACTTTGTCTTTTCATTCGTTTGTCAATTTCAACTTTGTTTTGCTGCCTTATTCATTTTATTTATTTATCGTGCATTTAGACAACACTTCACTTTTTTTTCTACATAACACATCAATGGACGACTCACTCAAATTCTATCTGTTTTATTTTTATTTTTTGCTATAAAAATGAATAGAAAAACTTGAACGATGTTTCTGGCATTGATTGCATTATCGTGTTTTAATTCTGCACAGAAAATAATAACCGAAACAGCCACTCAATTATTTCCCATTTCACTTTTTCCATTGGATGTGGTGACGGGAAAAAATCACCGTTAATATTTCACCATTTAATATTTATAAACGTGAATTCTGGCCGGAGAGCTGCAGTTCAGTGTCATGCTGAATGCAGATAACAACATTCATTCGGTGCAAAATTAATATGAGCCTGATTTGTGACTTGTTGTACAACAGTTAAGTAATTGATTTGCATTCGTTTTCGTTTCGATAAGCCATCGCTATTCGGCAGAGCATTTACCAATGCGAAACACTTATGAATAAATAAAATGCTGATCACAACATAGTTTTTGGAATATGAAAATGAAGATCAAACCTTGACCCAAATCTCATCCTTAATTGAACGAAATTAAATGAATAAATTGGCTGATGTAAATATATACATCAGCTAAGCATATACGGTAGATATTGAAGAAGAAAAAAAATATGGTCTAACCTTCTGGCGAAAAATTACATATAAATGACGCGTGACTTTGTTGGTATTGGTCACATTACGACAACGTTAACCACAGCGGTGTCGACAAAGACGACGATGACGATGACGACGACGACGTTAACAATAGTGCATCTTTAATGCTAAATATCTCGCATAAATATCAATAAAAGGTCATAATATGTTCGCTTTTAAAATAAATTATCATCGAATTCCCATAAGAATATCAAAACAAATGGTCAAACTTATTATTAAGACATTTCCCATTTGTTTGGATTTCTATTCTCGACAAAGAGTTTTGTGGCGAGTATCAAATGTAGAGAATGCGGGATAAAATGTGGCAAAACTAATGCCGCAAAAATAAAAGATTTTCGGGTGGTGTAAACCAAAATTATTGGAGTGGATTCGATGTATTATGGTTTATACGGTATATAACTTTCATATGCAAGCATTCAACAAAGTGTTAATGTATTTATGTGATTTACTCAATCTATTCTCTTTGTGGCTGGTGTGCCATATTCTTTATATTAGCCATCGCAATGTTCAAATAAATGAAACAATACGAATGCATTGCAATTTTAATGCGAACTTGTAGCGAAATTCACTACACTCAATTACAATTCAGCCACAAAATGAACAATGGACAAAGTATTGTCGACCAAATCACCGATAATGTTGATTTTTCCTATGGTTAATGTTCATTTATTTATTTGTTTACTGTGCGGCCGCACCATGTTTCCATGAAAAATGAATAATGTGATGAGTTTTGATGGTTTCTCTAAAAAAAGCAGTTCACTCACTCTCAATGCCTTAATGTACACAAAGTCATCGCCTGATTTTGGCATTTGTCTAAACGCTTATTCATCATCGTTGATCGTAGCTCATTTTAACATATGTAAATCATTTGGGTGATTTTCCATTTTTTGTATGGTGTGCTGTTACCAATGAATCGAAAATGCAAATCAACTGCTGTGAAAATCACAGTTTAAACCCTTATTTCTTTAATCAAAATGCATGGTGCACTGTAAAAATACCGTCTCCAAAGATTTGCGGTGTCACTATAAATAATTGATTAGTAATGGTATATGATTTGCCCTTTTTTCCAGCGGCATTTGTTTTCTTTTTCATGTGTCTGTGCACTTTTTACTCATTTTAAAATAAATTATGTCAGCGGGGAGTGATGGGTTTCATGCTTATTATTGAGTTTTTTTCCCCACTTTCACAGTTCATCGTATTGATTCGTATTCGTTCAACGATTCCAGTGAAGAAAATAAAAAGAAGAAAATTTTGATTTGAATTCAACGCGTTACGCATAGTTTTACAGTAAAATATTTTCGATATTTACACACCTTTTACTATTCTCAATCAATGCTAGTTCACTTTTTTGCCATTCTATTAATATAAATTGTATATGATACAAATTTAGTAAAGAATAGAAAAAAAAACAATATCGCCAAACATATGAGAGTTTTATATTTCTGCGATTTTTTCCCTTCTTTTACTTTATTGTCATATTTAAAGCCTGAATTAACTTTTAATGGTGCAGAGAAATTTAGTTGGCATTGGGACGAAGGGAAACCGATCCAATTCTAATTCTGTCGCAACAAGACACGATCGACTTCAGCATATTGAACAAGCTGAAAGCATGAGAGAAAAAAAAACACACACACACACTGAGACTAAAACGCAATCTGTTGTAAAAAGGCGTCAAAAACACGTTCCGAATTAAATAAAGAGGGTGGATGTTGGTTGAATCGACTAATGCGTTTGTTTGAATTCGTATGTTTTGCCCGTTTGTTTCTTCTCTCGCTCTCTAGCTCGGTGCGTTTTTTATTTCTCTCGGGCTGACATCTTCGGGATAGGGTGGAAATCCTATTTCAAACACATACTAGATTGACTGTGAATGAAGAGTAGAGAAGAAAAAAAACTAAACACGTTCCACGCCGAACCACACAAAGCGTTTGCCTTTTGAATAAATTATTATCACATTATGTGATGTTGTTTTGAATAAAATTATTTTTATCATTAGCTTTTATTGCATCTCACATAGTAATATAATGTTATTTTATTTAACAATACCGCACCATTTAGCATTCATTGAACTGAATCATTGTGATATTAGATGCTTATTTTATGCCATTAAATTTCGATTTTTCGATGATAATTCGATAGCGTCAGGTGATTCGATCAGTAATTTTCATTTTTTTTTTAATTGAATCGTGAAAGTTTATGGAAATTGATTTTATAACATCATTACACGCACAATATAAATTAAAATTCAACAATAATCTTTATTCTTCACCACTGGCGCTAAGATGACGTTCGAGAATTTGTCTATAAATACCATGGAAATCTGTTGAATGGCAAAAAAAGTGGCCTTAAGTTAATACATTTGGGAATAGACACCTCGTTAAAGAGCGGCCTAGTTTGACTTTTCGAAATTAAAAGCCATCAGAAACAGTGACTGCGTCTCCCTATCGATTGAGACGACTTGAACGAAAATAGACATATATCATATGAAAAGAAGAGCATTATTTTTGCATTATCTAGAACATATTTAACACCTGCTATCTAAAAGTGTTCTATCGTTACCCCAGTTTCTACCAACAACATAAACATTGTGCTCTTGCGTATTCTCTGCTCTCACACAGCACCCGAATTTTCAGTCAAGGGGTCACAACGAATGTGACGGAAGAGAAGAAGAAAAAAAAGAACCAGAAATACAGCAGAGCCAAGTCATCGTCATCATTGCATGCAATTCCATTTAAATCTTGATTCTATATCGTGTTGAATTCCATTAACTGTGATTTTAACCATATATTCAATGCATACAGTGGACAGACATTCTATGTCTGTGCATTCGTTACAAAACAAGATAAATCAATTCGACCGAATATTAACAGTAGAAATCAGTATCATCAATATTAATAATTCTTGTTTGTTATTTGTTCTATCTCTGTTCGATATGTGCCGATATTAAAATGAAAGGTATGGTTTCAAAATCGTCGAGCCAAATGGAAGAAGCGAAAGAAAACAACAAATGTGTTCCGAACTCCAGGTGAGTTATTTAAAAATTAGACAACGTCACTTATTTAAAATACATACACGTGCACTAATAGTTCCGTTTCAAAAATCCAATTCGAAAATTGCACACTCGCACTACCACATAAATGAACAACCGAGTTGAAAGAGAAATATAAAAAAAACCAAAAAAAAATAATTGAATGAAATGTGTGGATGATTTTTTTTTTTTGTTAAACTAGGTGCGTTGCTGCCTTCACATGGTTTGCCACCATTTGGTGCAAATATCACTAATATTGCGATGAGCGAAGGATTGTGCGGTAGTTCAATGTTTGGCAGTGATCGGTGGAGTGTTGGTGTTTCGCCAATGACAGCAGGTAAATAATTTATGAACGCTATTTTCACCCAACCATTATCCGCGGTGTGTATATTTTCACGCGTATTTTCATTAATATTTTACGTTTATTTTTTTCAAGTTTATATGCATGTTATAGACTGAACTCTAGCACAAGCAGATGTTCAGCTGTGATTAGACAAAAAAGGAAAAATGAATGAACGAATGAGTCCATATCCGTATTTTAAACTAACAGTATTTTCCATTTCATAAACTAATCCATTCTTGAAACCTCTTTTCCAATGCATACTAACCACACACACACACACAAACACAAACACATATATACATATGAAGGTTTTGGTCAGCTAAATCAATCAACCTCACTTTCTTCATCAATAAATAGTGGTTTAAATACGGGAATAAATATATCGTCAATGGGCGCAGGAAGTTATCAACATTATGGACTGAACGCATTGGGTGAGAGCAATTATCATAACGACCAAAACTAGTCCAATTAAAACTTCTTCTTTTGTTTCGAAATGTTGGTATTGATGTTTTGTGTGTGTCTTTGTACATTTTTTTTTGGTTTCAGTGTTTTTGAAGATGTTGTTTCCGATTGTTGTTATTATTTTTAATTTGAACACATTGATTGGTGGTTTAACCTTCTTTTGTTAATGGATTTCATATCAATGTCGTACCACTCTTAAACGTACGACACACTAGTAAAATGTAGCAAATCAGAGAGAAAACAGCATCGCTTCGTTTGAAATAATGATAGATTTGGACAGGTTTATAGAAAAAAAGAAATTCACCGTCACAATCGTGACTTTAAACACTAATTAACGGACAAATAATACTTTTTAGCCTTTTTTTAACCTAATTTATTCCATATTTTCTAATAAATTCAATATTTAGTAAGAATTGAGTGGCGTACAAGCCACTGTCTAACATCCTGACATCAGTAGCCACAGACTATGGCGACACATGCACGCATTCACACACAGTAGCAAATATGTATCATCGAGATTAACTTTTTATTTGTACGGTCGGTGTTTGTATACAATTCTGCTCTGAATATGTATATATTGTTCGTGTTCAGTCAGAAAGAGAAAGAGAGGGAGATGAAGCCTAACGAAGAGTTCTTTTGTGCTCTATTATTTTTCATTTTGGTTGATTTGTATTCGTTCGTTCTTTCTGTATGTTTCTAAATTTATAAGTCACGATCGATAAATATTTACTTATACTTTTTTTCTCTCTTCGCTTAAACGAACTTCGTTTTAAATTTTAATAAGTGTAAAGTTTTAACCACGATCCAAATATATTGCTAATCCATTTATTTTAGTAACCGCTTACATTTTCCATTCAAACGTTCATTCTTTATTCTGTATTCATCTCTGTCCATTCGCTTTGTTGTCTCTTTTTCTCCTCATTTTTGCATCGAAAGTAACATCTTTTAAAGTTTAAAAGCATCATTCGTTTGATTTGTACCTGTTCATTTTTTTTGTTTGTTTCGTTCGAAAAGGAAAAGAGAAAAAACAATAATTAAATAATTTTTTGTAAGGTCGCATGGAATTCAACAATTAGAATGTATGATTTTAGTGATCGCTGAAATGCCGAAAAAAAGTGTTAATTGTTGTTTGACATTATAAACATATAAATAAGAGTGTTGTTATTTCATTTCATATTAAGATAGATAGATAGGTTCAGAGTGAGAGTATGAGAGAGAGAGAGAGAGAGAAGTACAAGAGACAAAATGTATAATGATGGCAAAAGCGCGAGATAAGGCCATGCCCACAATGTATTTGTTTGGCATGAGTTTAGAGTCAATTTTCAGCCGTCAATCTTTCAAATGAGCAAATATGATTTCCATGAAATGGTCGAAAATTGTACCGAAAAGTGACAAAAGTGATGGTAAAGAACATGTACAAAACGCGATTTGCAGTTAGCGATTTATCCATAAACCGTTGCAATTGGCTTGACAATTATGATTTCATCGTTCAATCATCGCGGAAAATTGCTTTTATACGAAAACGAAAAGAGAGTTATTTAATTAACTACATTCCATTCTTTCCGTCTACAAATATCAACGGCAAACATTCCGACCAATATGATATGTCGACACATTGAATAATTGGCAACACACTCAAAAATTTCAAATGATTCAATAATTTTTCAGTTTGGAAATTCTTCTTTTCTCAGTGCAATGTCGATCGATTTAACATTGTTGTATACGAATGTAGTGTTACTGTTGTTGCTGTTTTTTTTTTTTTTTTACTTTGATTTGTTGCAGAATCACAAGGAAAACTAACTAGCTTTGTCAATAGCAAATGTCTGACAGAAGTTTTGCACAGTTATAAAATGAACAGAATGCAGAAAAAAGAACAACTGTATCAAAGTGGCAAAAAAAAGTCGAGTAAAAAAAAACACACACACACACAAACTCGACTTGGCTAAAAGTTGGTCGCGATGCGACACAACGTGTACAATATCAAAATGTTTTGCTATTATTTTTGTTCTATATTGTTTTGCAGGCGATTCAATGATGTACCAACACACCGTCAGTGGCATCGGTTGCTCGGGTAATTCACCAACATCAACTCCGCCCAACATAAATGCATGCTCGTCGTCGACTCCGCCTCTCGCCAACTCAAATCATCAAAACAACAACTCCAACCACGAAAACAATTCAGATCAATTGGTACGTATAGAATTGCGCCTTATTTTCCTTTGTTATATCCATTTCGGGCTTTTATTGTTCGTGCCACAAAAATAAAAATAAAAATAAAAAATACATAGAACGACTATTCCATCCGTTGATTGTGTGCGTGCATTCTCTTCCGTTGCTGTTTTTATCGCAAGAAGATAACATGAATTTTCATTTCTTTGGTCCATTGCGAACGAAGTTAAAACGGTTTACGCTGTTGTTGAACGAACACCAACGAATAAAATAAGACCATACACGCATTGCTTTCGTTGAATTCATTTTCATTTTATAATTTTCTTTTCAATTTTGAAATTCATGATATATTTACTGATATTTTGCAGGGTAGCCAAGGCACCAATCATCATGTTACCAACAATTGCCAAACAACAGATGGCAACGGGAACAATAGTGCAAATTTGAATGGTAACGGAAATGGTAATGGCACCGATGAAGATGTTTGGCGGGGACACAGTATAGCCGCACTAAGACGACGTGCATCTGAGTTAAACAACTCAATACCATCATATTTACATCAAAATTACGATCATCATCATAACTCCGTTTATTAAAAATCGATTCGGTATTGGTCTCATCGCTAATCGCAATTAAATGAATTAAAATGCTGATTGTGACATACCGAACACCAAATATCGCAAATGAAAATGCGTCAAATTGGCTTAGCATATAAATGCCACGGATCTATATAAAAAAAAAAGCTCAAACACATACACACACATACACACACAAATTCGAATTTGTTTCTAGTTTTTAGTTATGTGTACGGAAACTTCATTTGCTACTGCAAAAGTAATTCCACAGTTATTCTACGTCTACGTATCAAATAGCATGCTTAATGAAAATTAATTACCACATACCCTGTAAAGTTTAGACATGTAAACCCTTTCGGAAAGGCATTTAACATCTTACACTTCAATATATAAAATTTGAAAATCCAGAAAGAGAGACAATTTTGAAAAAAAGGAGATAAGAACAGTAACTGTTGTGTATACGAATATTAAAATAATATAAATATATATATATTGACTTAATCTTAAGAAAATAACAAAGCAAAAACAATTGTAACAGAAATGATAAAATGGTTGTCAGTACATTTATTGAGCAAGCAAGCTTGATCACTAAACATAGTTTGAGCCATATAATATCTTACATTTTTTTAAAAAAAATAAATTAATGGATAAATGTCATTTTATAAAAAAAAAACCACAACTACTACTACAAAATATTAGGAATCTATAGCTTTTTGGACACACACACACACATACACAAGAAAATTACGTACATAGGATAGATATGGGAGTTGTATCGAAAATGTATTGATACTAACTTCATTTGCGTTTCTTGGTTAGGGCAAGATTCCTTAAAATACATTTAATTAATTCAATATATCGATGTGAAAATGTGTACATTTGTATTTGATTTTGGTTTGTTTTTGGTTTTTGATTTTCAAATCAACAAAATAATGTTCATTGGCGCAACACACAAAAACAACAACTATTTAAGAATTTTAACGAGACTTAAATTTGTATACGAAATTCATCATATAAAGATGAGCTACAAGGGAATTAGAATGACAAAATAAAAACTGTTTGAAACGTAGGAATAATAGAAATCTATGTTTATGCAACAAGTATATTCGAATTAACAAACAAAAAAAAATCAGGAAGGAGTGAATAAATTTAGTGTATTATAGCGTATACATTTATATGGAAATAAATAAATTCACTAATAATTCAAACAAAAAAAAAACCGACGAAAGTTTTCGAAGAAATTAAACAGAAAAAAAAATAAAATAAATGGATGCATAATTTTTTTTTTTTTGATGATAAAGATGATGGATCAATGAGTAGCTAAGTTTAATAGAAAGAAAACCTTAGGATTACGACATCAAAATGATTTTTGATTTGATGAATTAAGATTGAATATACAACATATAAAACACTTTGCAACAAAATGAAAATGGTTAAGACTTGAAAGAATGTATACGAAATTCATACGATTCCACTGTGACAAAATATATACACAAACAAATACACATCAATATTTTACCTTTGACACATTTAAATCAAATGCGCCAAATAACATTCTCCAAATTCCACACTCTAATTGAAAACCCAAAAATTCGCATATTTAGCATAGTCCTTTTGTATGCGCGATGCCGCACCAATGTTATACGTAGATGTGTATGTCCTTGCGTTCATATTAAATGAATACACACGAATACACTCACCATTCGCTCACATACATGCATACATAAACTGAAATAAAAGAAAAACAATAAAAAAAATGGGGAAAAAACATACAACAAACAAACGCAATAACCAAAACAAGCATCTCATCCACAGATTCTATTCACACATACAAAAATTAAAGCAAAATTAAAACTATTGTAATGATTAATATTAAATTTAAAAATATGAATGTGCATAACGATATTAATAAAATTTAAATTAATTCAAACATTTCGAGACAATTTTTTTTTGTCAATTTAACAATATTTTGTTCAATATAAACCAGCGCAATTTAAATTTTTAATCATAATTTTGGTAACTTTGTGGATTTTTCCAACGTTCAATCATACCACAATCGTATTTAATTATATTTCGTTCTAAATTGCATTGAGTGAATTTTAAACTCTTCAACTTACAACATTTATTACGTTCGAAACGATTTTCGGAAAAGCCAACATAGTTTATTAAATATTAAATATCAAATCAATTATGAAATTTTACAAGTTTAGCACATTTTACAACGAGATTTATTTTACTCATTTGCTTTATGTAGATTAATTTTTGTTTTATAGCTTTCATTGAGAACAAAACAGCTTGAAACCATCGGATTTGGTAAGCTAAATGCAAACAACTGAATGCATCTCACATTTATTGTGCTTTCAACTAAAAAAACAACAGATGGAGTTACTGGAACTAACTTGAATATCCTTTTAAGATTTATTCAGATGATTTTGATGTAGTTCTTCATTTATATTTCGCATTGTGATTCGGACGTTTGAGCCTAGGTTTGAACGATAACATATTTGGATAAACGTATTTGATATTTGATTCTCAATAAGAAAGTTTTCTTCATATAACTCGATTAACCATAATCTACTCAATTCAGTTTACTTTGTCTCATTTCAACGCTTAGGATTGAACGCAGGTCCCAAATGTAATTCTTGAAGAGAGGAGCAAAATATTAAAATTCAAATTGAAGTCTATTTTCAATTTTATTTTTCGTCCTACAGTTGTGGAACTTTGCGAAACTTTTCTTTTCGAAAAAATTGGTGTGTACAAAATTTCATGCCATTCTGTCCATAAATAAATATATCTACAAAAAGTCAACATGTGCTACATTTGAAGTAAAAATAGCAAATCTATACAAAATGTATTCGATATGACCAGCCTTTTGATGTTATAATTCCATTTGTAAATTGCACCTGATTGAAAAGAACATTATTTTTACCAAAACGTCTGTTATTATAACTTGAAGAAAATTATTAGTATTTCTTCATACAACTTATTCTGAATCATCTAATAAAGAAACATACCTAAAATGCAGCGCCCACTGCTCGCCAGATTAGTACCAAGCAATATATCATATGTAATCACGACCTACCGAAACTTTATGATATTGAAATGAATTCATATTGCAACTGAACTGTGTTACATGTCGATCCGTAGATAGCACTTAATAAGCACTCTCAATGCATCTTTTCATGCAAATATAGACCATTCTCGTTTTCAATCCGATAATATTCCGACGGAGTTTTATTTCAGAAAGTCTCAAGAAAACCGTTTCTCACGCTTACCATTCACAATCGGTATCAATGCATATCCAATATTCAAGTAATTGCTGGTTAGTTAGTCAATGTATTGAATTGAAATCAAACAAATAAGAATGTTGTTAACGAGTTTTCCTCGTGATAATAGTATCAGTTTATTTGGCGATTCAACATACAATCTAATTAGAAATCCCAAAAGGCCGGATGAAATGAATGCAAGTTAAATAAGATTTGATGTTTCTCAAATGGGACACGAAAATTGCAAGGCCTAAATAGGCTTCATCTAGGCTTCGAAGACAGATTTTTTATGCTCAATCTCATAATACATACAATAATATATCTGGCTATTTCATCGTACATCATACCGTCTTATTAAAAATGTTATTTCTTTTATTATTGAAACAAGCGCGTTAGGTTGAAGATCAACTTCAGCAAAAACTGGAACGACGAAGAATTATGAGGAAGTATACAATTCATATCTATCTATGATATCTTTTTTTTTCAAATGTGTAGAGCATGAAAAAATCTATCGTCTGAGCAACTTCAAAAACAAAACATGTTGATGAAACATCATATATATTCAGATGAAAATCTGCTCTTAGGTCGAACCCACATTCATTTGTTAAATCACATCGTTTGATTTTTTCAAAACAAAAAAAAAACTTGGTTGTTCTGATTTCCAATCAACGATTTTGATTTCGCTGCCAAATCTAATCTGTACTGAATCCATTTAAGCGCGATCGATTTAACTATCCAAAGTGGAAAAAAACTGGTATTCTCTCGGCTAAATTTGATTATAAAAATAAACACCAAAAAAAAAAAAGTCCAAGAAGGTTAAAAGCTTAAAATATGCAGGCAATCTTATGTAATTAAAATCGATTTGATTTCTCTCACAAAATTTGTGTCAATGGGACATTGTGTTATTGGTTGTATAATGCAATTGACTCGCTCATAACGAATTCATGCCATCCATCTCAATCGATGGGATTAAAATCCAATTAAAGTCAGCAATATTTCAAAAAAAAAACAGTATATTTTTTGCTTCGCTTTTTGCTTACAGCATGCCTAACTTATCAAATTCATCAAAATGGTTCCTCTCATCTCAATGTGATGCGATAATAACACCCAAACTTATAAACATATTTGATTATAACGATTGATTTCGTTTGTTCGTATTTTCCAATTCGATTTTGTTGTTTTATTGACGTTTATACCCTATAAGTGCAAATGATTTCACATTCATTTTTTTCTCTGTGGCACACACAAAAATATTAAATAAATATTCGCTAAAAATTCCCATATGAATTTGATGTGAGTTGGTTTGCGTTGGCTAAACTTCAATGTTTCTAAGTAAAAAAGTGCTAAAATATTTCCTTTTTTCCCCATAGACATTATTTTTGTTTGGTACTTTCATTTAAACTATCGTTAAAATGTTTCCAATTCACTATAAATGTGTCCCCGTTTCGTTTCATTTCATTATTAGTGCCAATTTTAAAGACTTATTTTGTTTACACGGAAAATTTCTATCCTAATTTGATTTGAATTGGTTGTTGTTGTTGCATTTTCAGAGAATTAATTGATGTTGATGTTTGGTGTGGAGAAATTCGTTTTTTTTTTGGAGGAGGGAGTTAGTAGACATTTAGATAATTGTACATGATGACTGATGCATCATAACTTCATTCAAAAATACTGGTGTACTTGCCCCAAGGCCTCCGTCCGTTTTCTGGTGTTCATTCTGAAATGAGTTGAAAATGCAATTTTGCCGAATTGAAATTAATTTTTAATTCATAAAACGAATTGAATTTCAAACCTCATCAAATTCGCAATCAAAATAGTTTCCTTGACAATCGATGCAACGACATGTTTCGGACATTTTGCATGTGATGCCCCATTCTTTGGCCACCGCTTTGTAAATCTTTTTCGATGATTTATTGTTGATAATTGTGTCTAGTGTCGTTTGTAGATGAATATCTTGCAGCTGATTTTCGTGCGAATCCCAATCGTCAACTAGATTTTGATTATCTATACTTAGATTTGATGAGCATTCTTGTTCATCATTGGTCAAATTGGCTGTTGTATCTTCTTCTTCTTCCTCTTCTGAAAATCAATTGGAAAATGGAGATTTATATTTATATGCTTCTTGTGTGTGTGGGTGTGTATGTGTACCCAAGTTAATCTGTTCAAGGCTTTGGTTTGCAAACAATGGATCACACGATCCGGCTGTTGAGTCAATCAAATTTTCATTTGAACGTGATGGATTCGACAAAAAAAGCTGTTCACCAACTGTACACTGCTGTTCATCGTATTTTGAAGCTTCTTTGCCTCCAATATTCGATGTGGCATTTCCTTCGCAATCATACTGATCCTAATGGAATAGAAAAATACATCGATTTTTATGCAACACTCGAATGCAGTTTGAATATAGAGAAACATTTGCATCTTAATTACATTTCGGGATATCGTTGAATTTGATGAAGATGTTTTCATATTTTGATAACAATGTGCGTCTGTGATATTTCTCATTATCGTTGGATTCTCATAACCTGAATTATATACAAATAAATTAATTGACAACGCACAAATGATTTAATTTAAATGGGTGCGCGAGTGTGTGTATGTGTAAGTTATTCTGATTAGTATTTGTCGAAGTGATTAATAAAATAGATTACCTGTTTCCTCTTCAAATGTGTTTGCCAATAAATTGTGTTGATCGTTATTTGTGCTCATGCTATTATATTCGGAACTAAGTGTTGTATTGCTTCCGCTGACGGCTGATTGTCGCATAAGCAGTGGTTGTTGAACAGGCTCTTCAATTTCCTGCGATATGCTTCTGGAGCTGCTTCCCATTCGAAATTTCATCAACTTAAATGGAGCCATATTAAACAAATATTTTTTTTTGTTTTACTTCTAACTCGGGAACTTTGATGACAATTTGTCTATTTTTTGTTTTGTTTTTCAAATTCCACTAATTTCTTGGGTTATTTAGTTTTGCACTTGCGAGTACATCCACGAAAAGCAAAGGTTAAAGATGAGTGATAATTATTTCGTTTGTGTTATTGTTTTGGTTTTGGTTTTGTTCTAATTCGTTATTTTTTTTTTTGTTATCAAGTATTTGTAAGGCTGAAGTATAAGGAGTCAGTTGAATCGAGTATAGAAAAGAGAAAAAGAGAAACAGAGAAAAGAGGTGTGTTGAAAATTGGAATAAAAATTGAAAGAGCTTGAATTTGAAATGAAGAAATAAATTGTTGTTGTTGTTGTTGTTTTCGTGTTTAATGCTGTTTATGCATGAGACGAAATGGCTGATACAAAAAATCCTTTCAAAAGATTAATACGTATTCTCATTTTATAATGAATGTAATAAAGAGATGAAAATAAAATATACAATACATGAAAGTGTAACTGAAATAATGGCGGGTAAGACGTCATTCAATGGGAATAGGGAGAGAACAAGAGAAAGTGAGTGTATGTGGGACCCGTTCGAACAATTGGCGCCTTTTGAAAGGCGCACGCACCATTTCTGCGCCTTTTAATGAAATGACGAGAAAAAGAATAAGCAACACATCGTATGACTCGTATTTCATTCGATTTTTCTTATGCTAAAATGCTAAGACCATACTTCTTCTTCGTTTGAATCTCCATTGTGCTGCGAAGATCCGCACAAAGAGGAACAAAAAATACCAAAAATGTAACGAATCTGCGCCTACTATGCTGTTTTTCGTACACGCTGTTTATATACGAATCATACGATGTGCTCGTTTATCCTTTTTCTCGTCATTTCATTAAAAGGCGCAGAAATGGTGCGTGCGCCTTTCAAAAGGCGCCGATTGTTCGAACGGGGAGAGACATAAATTCTAATTAATTGTTTATTTTCGCGTGTCAAGTAAATGCGTTTTACTTTTCTTTATTGTTGCCACACTACGCATTAGATATATTCCGATATCAAGAAATCTTTATTTTTTTCTTTTTTTTTCATTCGTGTTGGGTAGTATGATTGAATGTGTCTGTGCGATGTATTTTCTCGTGCGTGTTTTTCTTTTGTTATTATGATTCAGGAGAATGTTGTATATGTGTTTGTGCGAAATTAAATGCGCCGATAATGCGACATCGAATTCACCATTCGTGTAATGTACCACAATAGGCAACAACGGCATTATCTTATAACAATACATCGAAACTACGCAGTTATGCTAACTACATTCAACGAAATATCAAGCAACAATGTAATTGTATCAATGTAAACGAGACAAAAATAAAAATCAACCAAACATAATATGTATCAATGACCAACAACAAAAATGAAAATGATTTCTAAATTTGGTGGTGTTGCGTTCAAAAAAAAAAAAAAGATTATGTGAAATAGTCAATGAACAAATTAACTAAAAACAAATTCACAACAATGATAAATCAATCAATGTCATACTTACCAAAAGGTATTACTATTCAACTAAACGAAAATGGGGATTTAAATACTTCGAAAATCGTTCGATTTGTTAAATGTATTTTTTTGTTGTTGTTTTTTTTTTATTCTTGATTCTCAACTCTTTTGATAAAATTTCGACGAGAAAAAAAATGTTGTTTGCGAAGTATATATAAAAAACAGTCTCACACAAATGGGTTTGTTGAATTAAAATGGAGTACAATACATAAGCTCGATTAAAAAAATAACGTTGATGCCAGACGTATTGTGAAAACGGGTTTTTCACTCTCCTTTTTTGCTCTGATTTTCAATCGTTTTATTTAAAAAACGAAATAAGAAAACCAAAAAGAAATCTACACAATATTCCAAAGAAAAATAATCAACAAATGTTGATATGGTCTACCACATTGTTTTATACGTATCGACTTCCAATTCCTTTTCAAACTTTCATTGAACTAATCAACGGAGGAATTGTCGAAAAAAAAATTCCTCGTCTTATTCGGTCAAAGTGTCACTGCGCATTCGCATAAACTCTCAAGTGCCTCCACTGTTTGGACAATCTAGTTTTCCGAATTTCGTGCACCGTTTCTCGCATGTTTGATGTTTTTGTTTTTTTCTGATTCTCTGTTGGAATGTACGTGTGTATGTATGCGGTCATGCGCCCCAATACATAGCCATAAAGCTAACAATCATCCATAGAGGGCAGCATTATATGCATAAAAAATTGATAATAAAAGCTCCATTCCATTGTGGCTTTAAAATTATTTTTCAAATGAAGAAAAAACAATGAAATGAGTTTCCTCTGAAGTCTGAAAGCATTCCCGCGTCTGGGTTCATGATGTGAATATCGAAACATAGACGAGCTTTTAACGTTTAACCTTTAATTGCCGTCATTTTATCCACAAAACCTGTTTTTCGGCACTTTTTTTCAATTCATTCGTAACGCGTAAAAATAATGTCGTAATATATTTTAATGTCTATATGATGAACACGCGATCCAAGTGGATAACCATAAAAAAGCGTTTGTTGCCGTATTTTATTTCTATATTGTCAATGTTTTATGTTATAAATAAGAGTTTTGCAAAGCTATGTAGGTTGATTAATTGTGCGTTGTTGCAATTTTTGGAATGTATGCTTTTGATTGCGTATGCGCTCGAAATTATAATAGGCATTCAATTTTGTAAATTAATTTACCATCATTTTTTGAGAATTGACGCAAATGGCCAAATTATGAACGAGGGTATTTCCGTTCGTAGATGCACATAATGTTGAAAGGAATTAAAAAAAAAAAATGATAATAATATAACTCATTGTAAATTGATGTGTACACACAATGGTACATGTGTTACATGCATATATAAATACATTTCACAGCAGTATAATAGATTGGTTTGATTCAGCACGCTCGTTGCAACATTGTTAAACGAATTTCATGTTGTGCAGAATTGAAAATGCAAATGACAACAAAACAAATAAATTAACAACAAAACATACAATATCATGTCAACAAACTCAATCGCTTGTCTCAATGGCGCGCGTTCTCTCATTTTCTATGTCTTTTGTTCTTCCACCCACTCGTTTAAGTGTAATATACAAATATAACGCATTTGGTGTGTGCATGTGTTTTGCTTTCGGGCTAATTTTGCGAAAATGAACTAACTCAACCAACAAAGAGCTCAATCATGAAGCGGTGGTCGTCGGAAAAACGGGGCAACATTTAAATTTAATTAAATGTGTTAATTTTTTTTTCGCCCCTTATCGAACAAATTCATACAAAGAGAACGATTGACTCGAACGCATCACGATTGAAAAGCGATTAATTTGTGCTGAAAACAAAACTATGACACACGGTTATTGTTTTACAAACATATTGTGATTCACAAATGTGTATAAAAACCGATACCATCAAACAATACTAGTTGACTATTCGCTCAAAACAAGAACCACGAATGATATTTAATAATGCGTGCAAAGGAGATGACAACAATGAAAAAAATGTTCAGAGCAATATAGAATAGCAAATAAAATACCCAGGTTGGCTAAAATCACACTGAAAAGCGCTTTATATGTACCGCTTTGGCCCGAGCAATTCGATTATATCATATTACTAACAATTTGGCATATTTGAAATCAAAAATACACACAGGGAGCGAGCGCACCATACATCGGTTGCGTAAAATGAAAACACACAGTGAGAGAAGTGGGGATTTTTTTTGGGGAAGGGGAAGGCAGGTTGAGGCGGAGGTTTAGAGAAAACGTCGCGGGTCATACGCACATATGTTTCACTTCGACAACCGATCGAAAGCGATTATATTTATAAATTGTTCAATAAATTCCATTATTGATTTTCATGCTAATCGCATTTACGTTGTGAATGTGAATCTTCCATTTGATGTGGATACTGGCTTTGTGTTTTCATGCACAAACTGTTAGTATTCCAAGCATATTCCATCCGTCGACCTCTCGTATGTTTCATTTTTCTTTTGTCACACACATAAATACAAACGACAATTTAGCGCTGAGCTTCCAAGCGATTTCCGTATATTTGATTTCATCACAATACATTTTGGACGATGCAAATAAATGTGATAAAATTGAACAAAAAGAGAAAATGAACAAATATATATATATATTTATAAAACACACAATAAGTCTTCCATAATTCATATTAATCCAAACAATTTCAAAAGACAGTACCACCAAATAGCGCACCGCGCCTGATGCTCAAGCGTGAGTTAATTTAGTGAAAAGACTAACACATATATTTGATCGTAATTTTTAAGAAGTATGGTCTTTTTTCCTCGGTTGCAGATTGTCGCTCGTTTGATACGTTTTGCATTCGATTGCTGTATTAAAATAAAATTACTCAAACCCATAAAACATGATTGAATAAATTTCAATAAATTTCGTTCAATATTTGCACAGAGTAGATTTATGCTGGCGATACGTGAATGCGTATGTGTATGAAGCTAGCATGTCCAAATATAAGTGAAATGCAAGCGAGTGTGTGGAGTCAAGCATCAATCATGTTCACATCACATTTCATATAATATGAAGAGAAAAAAAAACAACAGCAAAAACATAAAAAATTGAAAAGCTCTGCTTCTTTTTCTTGTTTGCATCGTTTGCACAACATTAATTCGGCAGCAGTTCGAGTTCGCTATGATATTGTTTCAGGTTAGCGTTGCACATCGGCTACTTTTATTCATATCTCTTTCATATAGATTAACGACAAAATTGTAACAAAAAGGAATGACAACATTTCCTGTTTCTTATCGACACACTAGCAAATGGCAGTGCTTTTCAAGCACATAGGAAATGGAGGCAAAAAACACAAATGGAGAGCGAGAGAGAGAGAAAGTGGATGAGAAGAAAAATAAAAAGAACGATGAGATTTCAAATGCAGTCACAAAGATGAAAATGAATGACAAAAACAAGAGAATATGCGAGAGTCGAATCACCAAATGACATGTGCATAATCGCCTCTTTTAAAACAGAATTTTAAAAAGGCGGTAAGAGAATGAGAGAGAGAGAGAGAGAGAGAGAAAGAAAATTAGCCGAAAACGAAAGACTGAGAGAGGGCGGTAAATCCTGAATGTAATTCATGAAGTATACTTCTTCTTTCTCTTCGCACGCCATAAATATACAATGATTTGGATAATATATCTCTCTTTTGGTTGCGCACGTTTGAATAGCACCGTCATGCCCCAGCAACAATGTGAGATGGCTTCTTAAAGTTTTTTTTTTTTTTTGCTTTGTATTTGGTGCCAAACTGAAAATAACATAAACATTCATATCCCAACGCATGTCATGCACAAAACCGACTTAATTCAAAAATGAGCGGAATCCGTAGGGCAAAATACGAAGAGCAATTGATATGACATTATCCACATTATATTGTTGGTTCATATGTATATTTTATACTTACATCTTAGCTCATTTGTTCATCTTCGTCGTTCTATTTGATCCTGTTGTTGTTGTTGTTATAGTGTCGCGCACAACACTTTTGATTCATTCGCTTATTGCTCTGTGCTTTAAAACATGGATCGCCAAACAATTCAAGAGCACATTGTGCGTTGTGCTACAGTTTCTGTGTTTCACTTAAGCTTTTGCCTATTCTTTTTCAGCGTTTTGCTTCCGGTGCAAGCCAATGTATACTGTAATAATTTAAAACCCTTTGTCATGCCAATATAAATGGTCTTGTGTACCATAATAGCATTGCCGTTTGAACAAGATAAACGACTGTGACCGAGACAGAGAGAGAGAATGAAAGTGAACAAGAGGTCTAGAGACAGAAAGAAGAATTATTTTATGCGCAGACAAAGAAGAGCAAACAAAAAACAAAACCGGGCGCAAATTAAAAAGGAAGTAAATGTGTAAACAGGCTCAACGTTAGAAAATGATGAAGGCCAATGATGAAAGCGAGTGATTTAACATTTCAACAAGCCAAATTGTGAGATGTGTCCATTCTTTGTACATCCTTTCTTTTCACGTTTTGCGTCAGTCTTTGTTTTTCGTTGCGTGTACATTGCATGTTGCAATATTAAAAAGAATAAATTTATTTTGAAAATAACACTTACAATACCTAAAATACAATTGTACATTTAATAAATTTTTTTGTTTGTTTCTTTGTTTTGGTTGTTTGGTTTGAAATGTGTATTTATTGAGTCGAATGTTGGGATGCAAAGGGAGCATTACCATCGTGGCTGCATATTCGCATATACTGCAGCTGTGCAAGCGTACGCGAACGGCGAAATACGGTGGAGAGTGCACTTTGCATCTCAACCTCAGACCATGTATACAATAACATTGTGTGTGTGTGTGTGTGCGGAGGTGTGTGTGTGTGTGTTGTGTGTGTGTGTTTGTTTGTGTTTGTGTGTGTGCACTAGGCGCTTAGCGTTGCCTGTAGAGCTTATGTGTGTTTCTTTAAGTGTGTTTATGTGTAAGTGCAATGTTCTTTTTTCTGTTTGATTTGGCACACAATTTACATGAGTATAAAAAATCCGTCGTTGGCATGGCTTTAGTCATATCATAAATTTGTTTCAATGCACAAGATTTTCTATATTTGCACATAAATTGCAATCGCTACAACGTCATCACTTCATTTCTCCTTCTACAGATATATTTATATATTATACAGCAAATAAGATGAATGCAAATGAATTGTTTGCTGATTCTTTTTTTTTTTTTAAATCTCATTTCTATTTGGATTTTTTTTTCTATCTCGTTATTTGAATTTTGCTTTTACTTTGATGACGTCCAATTAATTAGATTTAGTTGCAGTGAATTGGATAAATGTTACATGTTCGTTTGGATTTTATACTTTTTACTCTTTCGTTTTTCGTAACAACGTAATTTATAATGTTCACGTAACACTTCGTTATGCACATAAATAAATGGATTTTAGTTTTTGTTTTGTGTTCCTTTTTTTCTGTTCATTAGTCTTCTCTCTATGTGAGTGTGTTTGTAAAATGTTGTTCATTCATTCTTTTTTTAACAACTTAACATTTTCTTTGGCAAATAATAGTCATTAGTTGAATTACCCCTTTTTTTGTATTGTGGTCGAGTTGACTGAGTATATTTGGTGTACAACAGTCATAATAATAATAGAGAAAAGTAGTGTTTATTTAATTTAATTTTTGTTTGTTTGTTTGTATGTGTTATGCATTCCGGTGTAACAATTAAATGCTATATGTATACATCGTGTAGAGAAAGTGAAATTATCTCAAATCTTTCTCTGTAAAGTGTCACTTTTAAAAAGCACATACGATTCATAAAAATAATTTCGTGTGAATTTTGAGTCGCAATTCAAATTATATTCAATTTCATCACGTTTCAACATTACAAATTCGCAAATTATACAATTACGTTATTTATATAATTTTGATTTAGAAGTAAATTTTATTAAATAGTTCCCCTTACATATCTAATCTAAATAATTCAGCTTAAGCTTTGCCATAATTCATGAAATATGTCTATGTAAAACGACATAGAACAACCGCTACCTCCTCCCTCCCTCAAAAAGAAAGTTTGGTTTCAAAGTCTGCAATGAAATTCGGAAACAAAAACCAAAAATTGCAGCAGAAGGTGTGACTTTATTGTTGGAGTTTTGGTTGGAGTTGTTGGTACTTATTTTTGAAAAGTTTCCCATGAATAAGCCAAAGTGAACACGTACGTAAAGAGAAATAAAGAGAGGATGAAACGTGTATGTTAGAGCAAGGAGCACGAGAAAACAAATTCTCACCGAATATCAAATTGTTTTCATTTTTTTTTAATGCATAGTTTGAACCAGTTAGTGAACAAAACAATAACATGTTATTTCATGTGCTGTTTGAATTTGTTTAACATACCAATCTTGCCGGATATATGTTCCCCGGTTACAAAAGATGTACTTCGATTGCATTTTTCAAGTTGAACACATTTTCAGCAATTGAAAGAGGTGCTATGAAGCGATTGAACGAAATGAAAAGAACAACAAAGCATTTTGTTTAAATTCAATAAAAAATTTCCTTAGCTCCTTGGTTCAGTATGTCAGATTATTTCAGATGTTGCAAATAAGGCAAGAGCACATAGTTTTTATGCGTTTCCGGGAAAAATCGAATCGAATGTACTCGGTCGAAGGGGCAAGTGTTTTTTATTCGATTCATCATTACGGGTCTCGTACTCACCGTATATGAACTATATGGGAATGATTGGCGTTAATGCTTGTAGATGTTAGTGTTGGTGTGTTTGACGTTGGTATATATGTATACTCTTTGAGGTCAACTGACATCTTGATAAATTGAGAGCAGCATTGGCAACGGTATTACATTTTCAGCCGTAAATAAGAATGAAAACGAAGAATAAAATATAACTTTTCACACCGAAAAGCGCAAACACGAAAACAAACTTTTGTTTGTGGTTCACCTATCAAATGTCGAAAATTATTTTTATTTGCGGCTGTTGATCGAGTGTTATTGCATTTCAATTAACTTAAGACAACCTCCGTTGCCAAAAACACTAAACACCACCAACCTTCCTCCGATGGTAACAACGTTCTTCACGTTTTGTACATTTGAAATAATGTGGTATGTTTTTTTTTCTTGCTGCTTAACCGTACACTCATTATGACATTGCGTAAAAAGTACGGTGCATATAAATGTTTATGTTTAATGTATTTTAAGAAATGTTGTTCCTTGAACTGTGCGAGAGTATATGCCGACAGTCATCCATACAAAGATAAACAGTGAAATGGGAACACTTTCGAATGGGAAACGATCGCGTTTCTTTGGTTTTGTCGGTTCCTTCGTCTTATATAGTTAAAATTGTACGCCTGTACAGAAGTTTTGTATTCATGGCGTGAATTTTATTAGCCGCATTAAACTCAACGGTTAAGCGAATGTTCGCCTTGTACATTCTTCAAATGTGTAACAAAACGAAATTCCAATACAAACCAAATGATTCACGATGGAACCGAAGAGAAGCCGTTCAAACCGTCGGAGGCCAAAGGAATACACATTTTTTATGATACTTTCATAGTGGAACTACGTTATAATCACATTTGCTTCTTCTCATTCGTTCGTTCGTTTACTTTCTCCTTCTGTTTTTTTTTTGCTCATTTTTCGGTATATTTAAAAATTGCGATACGTAACGAACGACGAGAAAGAACATTTCGTTACACTTACACATATGAATATAGTAATTTGATACTATATGCAAAACAATTATGAAGAAGTACTTTGTACTTAAATAAATATTTATCATATTCCATGGAATAGGAGGGTTTTGGAAGAAAACCAAAAGAAAATGTGGTACTAGAGGAACTTTTGATGGTTGTGTGGCTTTTTTTGGATTTATGCAGAGTATTACCATCGTTAAAATTGACTGATGTAATACAATTTTTGTGCTGTCTATTTTTGATAGAACACGCCATGTAAATGTATAGAAATAACAGTAATAATGTTCAACAATGGGATTATTAGTTGAGTAACAGAGTCGAATTTTTAGCACATAGATCAAATAGTTGGTGTTGATATCATTAATATTTGATAATATAAGATCCCTTTACTTCGTATAGTTACTTTTTCTCGTATTTTTTCCCTGCATCGTTTACTTAATCTGTCACTTGAGCTATGAGATAGTAAACTTTTGAAGCGCACCCTATTTAACGTGTGAAAAATATTTCATCATTTTTGTTCGCATGCACTTTTTCTCATTTCGTTTTTATTGTGCTCGGAGCTTTTGCGTAAGTTTGGTAGTTCGTAAGTTTGCAGATTTGGGAATACGTTCACAATAATCTTGTTTCTTTTCCTATCCGTCGTCTATAATGAGGATACAAAAAAACGAAGATAAGTTTGTAGAGTTTGTGTGATGTCTTATGCGATTTTAAAAGAAAAGTTATTTATATCATAATTATTGTAGTTTTTCTTGTTTCGCTAAATCAGACAATGGTATGAGTGCAGATTGTACGCAGGGGAATTGAGGGCGAATTTGCGCTTCCACTCTTTCATTCTATTAATTTTAATTATTTTATATAGTGCACAATGTAGAAGTTTAACATTTGAGTTGAGTTTCTGTTGTTTTTGTTGTTTTTCGTTTTCCTTTTTTTAAAAAAAAGTTTTGATTAATCCCGAAAACTATACGCATGTACCAGTGTAAATGTACTCGGAACCATGAGAAAATCTCAAATTCACACAACTAGCATTTTCTTTGCTCGATTAAATGTGTTCAAATTTATTGAAGCATAATGTCTATTCATTTGATATATATCCACAACATTTCAAACTCATTCAAATATCCACATTTTATAAATGTGTGACATATTCATTTCGCTGGTTTATATCAACAGTTGACGGTTGATGGAGCATTTATCTGAAACATTACGAATATATGTGGAAATGATGTGCCATGTATTTTATCGAATCAACGGTATTTAAATGCTTTCGAAACTGTTATACAGTGTATATGTTCGCCGAAAGAAGAGCATTCATTTCTCGTCGTGCATGTAGTACGTTATTCAAATTTCCGCCCAAGTGTGCATATTAGCAAATTGTTAAAATGCGGCTGCATCAATCTAATCAAAAAAGTTTCGTTTCAGGCTTAAAACGAGAGTGGTCATTCACAACTATGGACCGGTGAATAAATATTCATGTGAACTGGAGAGGAAGATTTTTCGTTCTTTTTTTTTTTCTTGTTCGGTATTATGTATCGTACTGACCACTCATAAACAAGCTCCGAATTCGAACACACTTTTTATGCTAGAATTAAATTTTGGAACTTTTGTGACGTGTGCAGGCTGTGTTGTTACCATTAGTTTTTTTATGAGATACATGCTTATGGAATGAGTAAATCGCTCATTCTCATTTGCTCATAAATTGTGGAGTTTGTACGAGTTTCGAATTATTTTTCCTCTGCTGCGTCCATGTTGTTCCAATTTTTTTTTTTTGTATCACATGAAAAGCACATGGGAACCATTTACCCAGCCGCACTTTAAATCGTTTTACACCGAAGTGACAACATAAAAATTTGTTGAACGTGAACCACATTTTGAGGTTTTCAATTTGTTAAACTTGTTGACCTTATCGTTTTCTACACTGTTTTGTGTTCCTGTCATTATGAAGTCAAATGATTTAATTTATTTATTTATTTTTTTGTCTATGTATGTTATGTATGTATGTGTTTCTTTTTTATCTATTTGTTACGCGAAACTCTCTAAAGTTTCCATAAAATCACTCGAAAATATTAACTACATTAATCGACGAAAACGGAATGCAACGACAAAGCTCTGTGGTTTTTGGCTGTGTTAATTATTGTTATTATTTTAATTATCATTTATTTAGAACATTTTCATTTTTGGCATGGTATTGTCGAAAGGTTGAGAGAGAGAGAGTAGAGAGTGAGAGAGAAAAAAAGTTTCACGTACTCAAAAAACGGTAATAAAGTCATCATCATCGTCGTCGTCTGAGTCATCATAGTCCTCATCGTCTTCGTAGTCAAAATAGCGACTCTGCAAAAACGAAATGAAAGAAAAAACATTGAGTTTGTCAATCAAAATACAGGCGCCAGTCTGTTGCACACAAAATGATTTACTGATGATTTGGTGATTGGCATGAAATCGATTTTGAATACACTAAATATTCGCTTTATTATATAATAACGACAATTCCCATATTTGCAATCATAAAATACTTTACCACGCTCAATTTTCACACGGTACAATTCCAACAAATAATGATAATAATAAATTTCGAACAAAAATCGTGCTGTAAGTCAAAAACATTTCTGCTCGAATAGCGAAAACTAATAGCTTAGTTTGGAAAATATGATTTAATTACCTGACATTCCAAGCAGCGACAGCTATTGCTTAAAGTACACGAAAGGCCCAGAAATCGTACAGCTTCTTCATATATTTCCGCATCGCTGTTGCAAGTGTTCGGATAGTAAATGACAGTGAAAATAGAATAGAAAAGAGAATCAAGAAATTGGTTGAATAGAACTTAAATTCAAAAATATTTTCAGCTTTGTGTGAATTAACAGCACACAAACTTGAGCGTAGAAAATGTGAAAGATATTTCGGTCGGAAAACTTACGTGATCAATTCGTCGAATCGTTCTACTTTAGTATCATCCGTAGAAGTGCAGCTCCAATTATTATTTAATTTGTCATTTTCGAGAAAACTCTCCCAGCATTTCACCTTTTTCTTGTGTAAATTCATATATTTATCGGGTTTAGCTATGCAATGGCGATGAATGGTTTGCGCAGTGCCATTGTTAATGCCAACACCAATACCAAATGTTGTGTCGATACCAACTGTGCCGCTAATCGCTTTAATGCTATTTTTTTGATCCTCAACAAATAACGTATGATCTCGATTCATTGAATTGGTGGATGTTGTATTATCATTGCTATTCGCATCGTTGCTCTGACTATAACTACTACTACTAGAACTGCTGCTGCTGCTGCTGCCGCCGCCGCCACTTCCGCTACTACAACTAATGCCGTTTGTGTTGGTTCGGTCTTTTGATTTCGCTTTTGCTTTTGCTGCTTCAGATTTATTTAATTTTATCGATGTTATTTTATTTATTGCACGCCCTGCTGGTGATCCAAACAAGTTTATCATGTCAATTTCCTGGAAAAAAAATGTTGTTTTTCATTTATTTACCAAAATTTCTTTTTTTTCACCTCATTCCCTTTTACGGTGAATCGATAGGTGTACACAGAATACAGTGACTATCAGCTCATGAAAGACGATAAAGCAAACATAATCTGTAGCATTTATCATCTATAAAGATGGAAAAGAAAAACACAACTACTTGCACAAGTTCATACACACATATATAAACATATCGAAGCTCAAAGCACACTCTATTCGGCCGAATTTTCTACTCTACTATTGACTATTGTCATATTGATTTAAACGAGAACAATTTTATGTCTTATTTAGTAAAAAAAAAAATTCTCTAGAATCATGCCGAACGATGAAACTGCAAATTTAATAGATTGCAGCCGAACGGTACGGTAAAATCCCACTGAATGCTTCAGAATAAATGTTGAACTTTGGTGGAGTACAAGCAATGCTAGCTTCGAAAAAACTTCGCACTCAAAATAACTGGCTTTTGCTTGTACTCAAATATAGTTTGTGTTTTTATCTTATGCATTCAACTGAGCTGTGTGGCATTATGTGCTGCTATATTTTGGTGTGAAGGTGGTGATGATGGTGTTTTAGCTATTGCTGCTGCTACATCAGTACATATATTGAATGTGACCAGTGTGGAATATCGCAAGTTCATGCATATTTACGAAGAACTTGTCAGCTGCTGTGTATCGCTCATTGTTCATTGCTGTCTACTTCATTTACTGATTATCAATGTGTAGTTGTAATATTTACTTGGAATTTTCGTCATATCTACCAATTTCCACCTGAATATGCTTTTTGTTCACGCTTTCGCTTCATGAACGCGCGAAAATAGTAGTTAGCAGAGCTATCTATTTCCGTAATTTCCCTCAATTTACGTAATTCACTGGATGGTCCCTATTATTGTTTCGATGATGATGATACGGTCTTACTACTGCAGCAGCCAAAATTTCGAATTTCATGTAACTAAAATACTTTCAATCGCATCGATTGTACCATCGGCTAAAATTTAATTTCATTAATTTCTCTTTTCATACGCGAATGAAAAAAAAAAGGGCGAGCTTGGCTGCTGTAACAACGATTTGGCAAGTGTTTGGTTAGCTGATTGGATTTGAGTGGCGATGCAATAATGATATTGTGTGGTTTTAAAAACGCTTCAGCTATACACATTCACATCAATTTAGTAAGCCATTAACACCGCCAATCGTGGCAGTGCTTGTGTATCGCATGTATTCAATGTATGAAAATCTGTTACAACACACAATTTAAATAATGTTGCATGGTAAGGATGTCTGTATGGATTCTTAGATCTAACTAATTAGGCGAATATATTTTGCATCACGTTCACAATTCTAATTAATCACGGATCTCTCAATGTAAATCACTTAGTTATTGATGTTGCTTAAATTTACATATTGTTGTTTTAACTAATTTTGATTTTAACGGTTCCATGTGAAAATGGATTTTTGTATGTTTCAATTTGTCAGCAGATTGAAGTTAAGCGAGAGTTGATGTGAGAGTTGATGAGCAACGAAAACTCTTAAATATCACTAACGGCAATCGCTTGAATGTGTGATAATGATTTCTATGACTTCGTATTCATTCTGAAGTGTGATGCTTGTTTTAATATAAATATAAATGAGAGTGGTTAAATGTGATGCATATTCTTTTCGATTTAATGTGTTGAGCATTTACACGTTTTATCATTTGTAGTATACGACATAAGTGGCGGGCAACACATATGGTGACCATGTCTTTCGAGAAATATCGTTCATTTGCTGAGGCATTACTAATTGCATGATCAACATGTCAACTTAAACGATATAATGAAACGAGCAACACTGTTCACGACACATTTCCCAACCAAACCAATACTTTCGATGAGGTACCTCTGTCGCTTTCGTTCTCTGTCAACTTCTTCCGCCATCGTGTTTCGCTCCCGTTCTTGCATTGTCATTATCACACTGGCAATGCCATTTGCTATTGAGCTCTTTTAAGAGCCATCCAATCAATGATTTCTAATTCAAATCTCAAAATGTGAAATGACAGCTGAGCCCTCTCTCACAATTAAACATTGCCAATATTTACGAGCATAGAAACAAACTACTTTTCCAATAGAATTTTGAGCACATGGTCTGCTGATTAAATAGGAGATTACGGTCGAAGGTTTGTAACAAAAAAAAAAAATAATGTAAGAAGAGAAAAAAACACATACAAAATAGTTGAATGCTACTCGTTCAATGTCTGTAAAATGTCTTAAATTTGTTGAGTTTCTTGTATAATATTTTAAATCCATTTAATCGTACAAAATTGTGTGACATCGATGCAAAAACTGGAGCTTTACTGATGGGGCGCAAAAACGAGAAAAAATATCGAAATGTATCGGTGATTGCTGGAGATATTACATCTTCTTTTCTTTGACTTTTTCCATTCACATCATCGTTCGCCTTAAATCTCATCCATCAAGCATGCCAAAGTACATCATAAAATCATAATAATAACTAGACATTGCTCCGTATATGATCCGTTTTTTTATTTTTATTCGAATTACATTTTCGGTATTTTGAACTGTGTACGTATCCATATAAGTATGTGTATGTATTTTATTAACGTAAAAAAGATCAGTTCAACAGAGAGATTTGCCGTTTGCCATAGTTTCATTGTGAGACTATGGGTGTGTGTGTGTGTGTGTCGTCATATTCCATTTTATATTTTCTTTAATACAATCGGATGATTTGAAGAAATTCTATTGCAAAATTCCATATTATATTTTCTGCTTTTAGTACTTGAATACTTGTTTTCATCACTCGAGACGGCATTGAGACGAGAAGCACCGAAATATGGCTTTCAAAAAATAATAATGGTAATAAAGTGAACAATAATATTAATGTATCATTGATATGTTCATTTTTATTATCTGTTACTAGATTACCAGCTGATTTTCGGTTTGCACATGAATTCATGATTATGTTTTCACCGTATATTTATCCGATATGATGTAAAAATTACTTGAAATGATACTCAAATTTTCATGAAATGTTAAGAACGGCCCCCAAAAAGCACAGTTTGCAAATGTCTTGAGTGAGACACTATCGCATTACGGTTCATTCTTGAAATGGCATTCTCTTGTATCTGTGTATATTTTAACGGCGAGGAAATAATGGAACGAAGTAGAAAAAGCGTCTCTTCATTACGATTGTACGGAAATGACATGAGAATCCGGAGTCTATGATTTGCACTTAGAACATTATCATTTTTCCTCTTCACTCTACATGAGTCTATGTATTTTGGATGGATATCCATCCGAGATATTTTAGAATATCTGGATATTCAACGCAACTGCACAGCGCCAGAGCTGTGTGCGTCGCAAATAGAATCTACGTTGGGTCGCTACATATATGTGTATCACAAGTGCCGCACGTACACAGTCACACTGTGTCTGTATTTTTCGTGTAGCGACATACCGTAGATGTGAGACGCACACAGCTCTGGCTCATTGCAGTTGCGTTAAATATCCAGATATTCTAAAATATCTCGGATGGATATCCATCCAAAATACATGGACTGCTCTACATGTACAATCTGCAGTCGTCATGCTACGCTATCATATCTAATTAATTGATTATTCTTTTTGCCGTTTGAAACGGGTAATTTATTCTGGTTTCGTCTTTTTTTTTTTGTTCATCACATTTTATAGACATTGTGCTTAAACAACATTAAAAGCTGCACAAAGTAGAACATTACGGTGAAACAGTGTTTTGTGTCTTTATAATTTTCGCCATATTTCTTGTGAATGCCATGATGAACATAAAGATGTGTTGGTGAAAATCAAAGTATATTTGTTTTAATTAAAAACATCGTTATGTAGAAAGCTAATGCCATCAGAGAGTCACAAAGTCAAAAAAAAGAAGAAAAAGACCCTGTGAAAGCTGTTGTACACACATAACCAATTTGTAATGTCTTATATTCTATTCAGAAATTTCCGTTGACTTGGCGCCCGTGTGGGAGAAACTTTACATGCTCCCGTTGCTTCAACCTTATACCTTTCGGCATTTCTGGCCGTTGGTCCTTGTTTTTAATGCCTGTTTGTTATGTGCCAAGTGAGCGAGCAATTGAATAACCGAACCGAACGCACATACACACATGCGAAGCATACACAGTGCCAACTGAATGAGATAAATTAATGTTCCGTAAAACCCTGATTAGCACAATCCCTATACATAGACACATGCACCGTTTCACATTCACTTCTTAAATGTTATATTGCACGAATACAAACATATCCATAAAATATACACGCTATTATGGAAAACCGACGATTTAATAGAACATAAATTGACAGATAGAAGTTAAAGGTCAAACAGAAACGAAACGATGCGAAGCCAAGCAAACCAAAATGAAGAAAACAAAAAAACAACAACCGCAACAACAAGGCTCAGGGACATAAGTGCCCGGACGGACAGCCAATTCTTTTTTTTTTTTGCAACTATAGAAATGAACATATATATTTTAAAAATTCTTTGGAATACGTACGACGTACGTACGGTCAAAAATATGTTCATGCGAGAAAGATATCGAAACGTAGTTCGGTGTTTACGAAGTTTGTTTTATATTTGATATTGCAAGAGAAAAAAATTATAGCACAGTGGACGCTCGGAAGAGATAATCGAAATGTTTCAGGGATTCTCGGAAAATAGTTCCGTTTACGGACGTACGTACAAATTAAAAGAAATATATATAATATAGTTATTAAACGCCGTTAGTGCAGTTGTTGTATTTACCTGTTTTTATATTATAAATGTTTGTAAAATATAACTGTGTCCGTACGTCGAACTAACATATATATTTTTAAAAAATTCTTTGGAATACGTACGTCCGGTACGATAAACAAAAATTTTTCATGCGAGAAACATATCTAAACGTATTTCGTTTCGTATTTTGTTGATTTTTTTGAAAAATTTACGATAGAAAAAACTTTTATATCGTTTTTAGAATTTTCGACGTAAATAATAATTTTTTTGATAAATTTACTATAGAAAAAGACCAGACGCTGCGCCCAATATAAAAAACTATTAATCAACAAAATACGAAACGAAATACGTTTAGATATGTTTCTCGCATGAACATATTTTTGACGTATTCCAAAGAATTTTTAAAAAATATTTCATTTCTATAGTTGCACAAAAAAAAAGAATTGGCCGTCCGTATGGGCACTAATGACGCTCGTGTTTGTACGGACATTTTGACCGTACGTACGTAATATACTTTAACTGTTTTTGTCCGTCCGTCCGGGCACTTATGTCCCTGAGCCAACAACAAATATAACAAAAACAACAACAACAACATCACCATCAATAGCCGAAGAACAAGCAACTGTAGACAACTTACAAGCATAAAAACGTGCATAAAGATGAAACTCAGTGCTTCTTCGACCACGCATATCTATGTATATACAACAACAACAAAAAAAAGACACAAACACACATACACCATATCGTTTCTCATCTCTAATAGCCGACGGGCTAAATAGATAATAGCTAATATAAGTTACTTACCGTATATCCATAACTAGTATCGGATATATAAATATTTTTTCCACTCTCTGGAAACATACCGCCCATATCTGTAACAAATCGAAAAAGAAGAAGAAGTAGTAGTAGTTTCAGAAGTAGTAGAGAAAAAATCACTCGTTATCAATATTAAATGTCACACACTAAAGCTCTCTCATTCTCTGTACATAATATGTTTAGTGTTACAATTTAACACGATAAAAAACCGAGAAATTGTATTTGATGGTTTCAATTAAAATATACAGGCTCAATTGAATCGTTTGAAAGCGATCGTTTGATTGATAGTTTTTCGCTTCGATAGTGATTTCAACACCTCTTGGACTAATGTGCTTTAATACGGTTTATATGTAATAAATATGTGTCGCACATCGAAAAGCAATCATCGGCTTCAACGTTGCCGCTCCGTTTACCTTTCGTGCTATATGTTAAATGGATATTTGCATAAAATGAATCGCAATCGCATTTGTTTCCGCTCAAATGTCATCCAATATGTATACAAATAGGGATATCGTACTTTACCAGCATTTCAATTCAATCTCAATAGCATAGCATAGCGATAAAGGAGCAACAGCAAAAAAAAGAGTTGTTCACAAGAGCCCTTCATAAGCCTAAGCCTATGTCGAGAATGGCCAAAGTAAATGGTAAACTTTTGTGCTTACGTGACACATGTGAATGTGATGGTTTGATGGTGCTGCTGTGATTAAATAGTCTGAATGTAAGTGGTGACATCAATCAGATGCCCGTTGAAATCAAGCGCACGCATCGATGGTTCTATCGCATTTCGAAATGAAAATATAAAAATGGCATTTCCGCTGTATAATGTCTTTGCTATTAAACTCTCAAACGAAGTTTACCCGCGTTTGTTGTTGTTCACATTCTACATCATCTCGTACATAGTCACAGTCTCAAAGGTCATTACGGTATTCGTTTTGAATGATCTATGCCATTTACGCTTATGAACATTTCGATAAGGAAATCTTCTTTCGATTTTACAGCCAATGGCTTAATATCAAATGGACGGATACAACCGGATGAAAAGGAATAGCAAAAAAAAAAAAAAAAAGAGTTTCTATGACTATAGTCATAATGAAATAAGCAAAGAAATCTAAAAAGAGAGAATGAAAAAACTAAAGCATCGAAATGATTTATGATTGCATTTCCAATGTGGACCAATCCATTCCATCTAAATTTATGAATAATAATTCTTTGTTTACACAGATGGATTACGTTTGAGCTTTTCAAATATCCAATTGTAGTAGATCCACTAGGACTACAAGATAATTTATATTTTTGTGCGCTACTTTTCACTCTTGGTATATTTGTTTGTTTGTTTTTATATTTCATTTTTGTCAAATAATTTCAGAGTCATGGAAGCGTATCGAAAGCAAAAGCGAAAGCAAGGCAATTTGTTGAAATACCACTAGCAATATCCACAGCAACAATTGATCGGAACCGCAACAGCATGAGCCAGAAGAAGCGTGACGAAAATAAAAATAGATATCTTTCATTCGAAATTGTGGAAAAGTTTTTTTTTTCGTTTTTTTTTTTGTGGAAAAGAAAGACGAGAGAGAAAGTGATTGCGAAAAATGGAGTATTATTTTATCGACTACAATGACATATACACAAATAAATATGTATAATACTTGGATGCGACAGAGACAAACATTTACGTTTTATAAACACATACCGATTGAAGCAATATTCGTTGTCGAGTGTTTGTTTTGATGCTGATTGTGGGTACTCCTTTTTTGTGTAAACAATGATGAAGAAAAAAAGTCATTTCTATGTGTCCTATGATTATGTTGACACATTTCTGTATCACATTCGCACCAATTGGGTGTCCATAAGGACAGAAAACCTGTAAAAAGAGATAAAAGAGAAGCAGCGAGAAAATGAATAGCTAAGATAGCGAACAGAATAAGAGTGTGGCATCCAAAATGAAGAAATAAAGAAAATGGTCGGTAAAAAGCAGCGAAACGATACAAGAAATGTAACGAATAAGTTGAGTTGAGTTGAGTGAGTGAGTGAATGAATGAGTGTTGGAAATAAAAGTAAATTTTTCATTTGATAAACATGCAAGAGGATTGAAGGTAGATGGCAGGTGGTATGCGAAAGGATTGAATGGAACTACAGTATTTGTATAATGTATATATATATATATGGCTTTAGTTTGTTATGTACAACGCCATCATAAAGAGTCTGTGTCATATGAATACTCTATGTAATCTCAGTACAAATAGTATCAAACAAATCAGACTGGAAGCGTAAATGCGAATGCTCACATATCGCATGCAATTTATCGAAATAAAAAAAAGAAATATAATATAAAAAGACGAAAAACATAATTCAAAGCAGCAAAGAAAAATCGTCAAAGGTCCCACATAGAAGAAGAAGATAGTTTGGTATGATCAACTAATTCAATGGCATATAGGCGTAGTTGACTGGAACGAGATGCTAAAAAGTGATAGCGATAGCGATAGAAGAGATGCTACCAACGAGCCAAGGAATGTGGTTGTGACTATCTATGCATTAAAAAGTGTGTACAAGTTGTACAAAGATACACAGTTTGAACATTGAAAAACTATATGAGAACCATGGAGGAACATTTTGTTGTTGTTGTTGTTGTTGTTGTTCTTCTCTCTGGGTTAACGATATTTTTGTTACTTTTATGCTCTTGTGAATGTGTTGGGTTCATCTTAAAAAGTTTTTGTTTTAATTTTGTTGGGATGTGGAATGTTTACCCTTTTTGCAATCAAAGAAATTACGCTCACCAAATTGAAACAACTTTATCATTTTGTGAATGAAGTACCGTTTGAAACTATTCAAATGTTATTTTGTTCCACACAATGCTCATGTACATTTCATACGCAATAAACAAATGGGTTCTTTCAACATCAACCGCATAATGCAATCGACACCCAAGTCAGTGGGTTGCTTTTTTTGGCCCCAATCATTTTCGATGTGTTGATGTGCTTAAATTTTAGATACAATCTTAAAACCGGTGAGTGTGTGTGGCCAATGATTTTCAACATCAATGAAGACATACATCCACACATCACAAAAGCATTCAACCCAAAATCGGAACAAGCTGGCTCATGAAAATGATGAAATAGAGCGGAGAAAATGGTGAGCTAAATTCATTTCCGTTGAAATTTTATGAAATCGACTTAGAACGTAATTGAATCGCATAATCCGGTTTTACAGCGCATTTCAACCGAGAATGAGAAAGGAAAGTAAGAGAGAGAGAGAGAGAGAGAGAGAGAGATACAGAGAATGAGGGACATCCAAAATTGCATCGAATAGTTTTCCTTTTGTTTGTGATTTAGCGGGATTCTCTTATCTATTCCTAAAACCTTAATACATTTTATACATGTTTCATGTGTGTGTACACTGTACACACACATATAATGCACCAAATTTTCATTTGTCGATTTTGCTATATTGCTATTATAGACGCCAAAGCATCATACTGTGTGAAAACATACGGAGCTTGTTTTTCTTCTTACGTAAGTACATATTTGTATGAGACATCTCGTTGCCTCTTATATGTAGAAGTAGTAAACAAATTGGTGCCATTCTGTCGCGCGCCAACAAATTTATTGGACTCGATTTGTATAAACCGAAATTTTTGTGGTAGTGGTGGTGGCGACGGCGGTGATGGCGGCGGCGGCGTCAGTGGCATTGTCATAAAATTTTCGTACTTCAAATTCTAATGCTAGTGCTTAGGCCTTAATCAACTTTGTCAATAGTAGGAACGTGGCAATGATGTCATACATATCTGTTTCGTAAAACTTTTATTTCTTATCCAACAACGTTCAATTTGAATCGATGATGTGAAAAGCACTTTTGAAAACGACGACCCAGCGCAAAGAGTGACGTTTAGTCTTCAAAACGTGAGAAAAAAAGGCAAACACACACACAGAGATATATATATATCTTCATGAACACGTACATTGAGTGTGAGAAAAAAATGTCTTCTAAATTTTCCATTATGTCTCCTTTTGTGCTCAATTCATTTGTGGCATGGACATTTTTTCGGTACTTTTCTCGTTAATGATTTTCAATTTAATTGATTATGGATGCTTTATTCGTAATGTTAACGATGAAACGCATTTATTTTGTAGCTTGTACGTGTGAATGAACGTGTTCATACAAAAGAATTTCAAACTGTTGAATAATGAGGAAGCAATTGTAGCAAAATCGTTAAAGGAATGTGTTTGTTATGTGCTTTGCGTACATTGCTAATGGTTTAACTTGAATGTACGGAATATGAAGTGACACCAAGCAATAACATTGTAACTATGAAGAAAAATGAAAAAAAAAATAGCACGCATACCGCAAGGGGACCAACACCAATATCGTTCTCAGCTATCTTCTATGTTGGTATACAGTTCGAAGTTACAAATTGAATTTCATAAAATTATTATAAATTCGGTGAAAGTTCGAGCGCACTATGAAATCACATCTAATAAAAATCATCTCAACTTGTGTTGCAATGAAAATTGTCAATACAATTATTGCCAAGTTAACCCCTAAAATGAGGACTTGCGAAAATTCCAAACAACAATATAATTTTATTTATGGATATGTTTTTGAGGTAAGAAATGGCACGAACGAATCGAATCAAGTTGTACATCAGTAGACAATGCACGTACTTTGTTGATTTCGAAAAGAGATAATAATAGTAATAATATGGTATGAGAAAAACAGGCTGTAATGCGGTTGATGACATAACGGTAGCCGACGTGAAAAGCGAACTCACATTCATGGTACACCATCGATGGAAAAACATATCGGCAGCAAACAATGCAATAAATGTGAATGAGAAAATGAAAACTCAAACAAATGATAAGCTTTCTTCTTTTATTCGCATTTCTTCCGAGCTATTCTCATTGATTTCAGTTACTTATCACAATTTTCTGTGTTCCTTTATTCTCTCTTAAGATGTACATCTCTGCAATTTTATTGAGCGTATTGCGTGAGTTAGGAATTCAACGTTTTCATTGTTTTTTCATACAAAAAGAAGCACACATATACGGATACGATGTACATCCCGTAGTGCTATACAGCGCACGATGTAATTGGCTTTCATTTCATGTAGGCGTCCAGATACGAAAATGCCCATTCAAATCCATCCAAATTGCATGATATTTACGATGGTCACGTTTAAATTGGAAACGTCAATTTTCTTCTGGCATCGCAAAGATTTAGATTTGCATTTGTATTGCTGCATCTAATTAAGTATTTTCGAGATTGACGGGCTACATGTATTGCTGCTACACGTATCGCCTCATATATGCATGTTCATAGTGATATGAAATAGCATTAGCCAACATTTTGCCATCACACCATCGAACAATTAACTCAATATAGTTCTTTGATTATTTTATTATACCTTAATGATGATAAAAATAATGATTTCTATTAGAATAATAGCACAATGTTGATCCGGAAACGTGAAATTGTGGAACAGGTGAAGAACAATCCACACATTCCATGGAATACTTTCGCAAGATCTATGGTGGTTATATAGTATATACACTTTTACCCTCTTGCTTCTTTGTCGTCGTTGAACGAGTGAAACGAAAAAAAGAGAACCATTGCACTGTATGTGCGATAATAGCAAGTGAGATTTTGGTATCGTGCACAAGCAAATACGCAAATTGTACCATCAGATGACGTTCGTTCACCGACAAACCAACCGACCAAATAAAACTGAGTGCTTTTTAATTATTCAAGCAAAGTTCATTTGTTCGTGCGCGATAATTTAATGTGTGCAAGAAAACCTTTGTGTTGTGATGTCCTTATGCCACAACGTAACAATCTTTCTCGTATTGTCACAACCATGGCCATGTATAAACATTATTGTATGTTAGACGGCGCGTGTACATTTTTTTGCACCGAAGCCAGTCTATTTACACAGAAAGACAGAGAAATAGAACATTCATTTTCTCTCCACACTTATTTAGAAATGCCGCTTAAATTAATATATGGATAACGGGTGCTCGGTCTTAGACCTAACAAGTCAAGTCATACATCGTGGGTTCGTGGGTTGTATACAAAATGGATGCATCACAAAACCTTTTGCTCACTAGTTTCTCTATGTTTCGAAGTTTTACACTTCCATCTACTTCTTATCAGCAGATAAATTAATTCTTGACATTCCGATTTTAACGAACTTTTCGCATTCTCAACAAAATATCAAAAAAAAAAAATCCTTTCGCAAGTTTCGGTTGCTAACTCGGTACTCTTTGTGAAATTAACTCTTTTATCAAAGAATGTCAACGAAAAAGCTTTTTAGTGCAAATAGTTTTTCTCTTTTCTGTTACCAAATGCCACACAAACAAAAAGTCACCACCAAAATGTATACACTGACCATTATTTTAAAATAAAAAAAATAGCATGGAACTTGTGCTTGAAATCTGTGTTTGTTATACTTTTCTTGAATCGAAGTTTGGTGCGCTTATTGATCAATTATGAAACAAAAAAAGAAAAAAAATAATACTTTCAGAGTTCGCAAAATCTAATCTATAAAAAGTGTCACGAACTAAAACATTTTAATCGCTCTTTTTTGCGTTGAAATATGATGCCAACACGAAAAGAATGAAACCAAAGTAATGAGATACCAGATACTTTTAAACAAAATGGATTTCAAAGGTTGCTATCTTTTTCGCAGCATGTTTAATGCAACGTACATGTCATTCGATCCAAGTACACGTGTATTCAGTGTTCACTTAATGCAAATCATACAGTCATTACTATTATGGAAGAACATGTAATTAAAATCAATATACGCGTACATCTCTACGGCCCGGGCCGCAATTTAAATATTACATTGACGCAAAGTGGAATTTAAGTCAACTTTGGCACAGATACATGAAAAGGGAAGAGACAATCAAGAGAGGAGAAAACAATTGAATTCTAACAAAGTGCGTTGAGCACGTTGTAATTGAAATTTTTTTTTTAGTAAAAGTAAAAAAAAAGAAACATAGATAGAGAAAGAAGAAAAAAAAAGTAAAAGAGATGCTATCACATCATATCCTCATTAAAAAAGGCAGTCGCTTACAGAAGCGTACCCTCATCCATTGCAACAATGGACGGAATATCAAGTGAAATAAGGGAAAAAACGAAGAATTTAAGTTAACACACCGAGTTCACACAGGACAGACACCAAACGCACAGACTAAACACAATGGAGAGCATCACAATGAAGAAAAAAAAATCCAGCTAGCGAGCGAACGAACGAAGTAGAAGAAATAAGAAGTTAACAGAAGCGATATTCTGTGTAATTTTGGTAAAGGAACCAAAGCTAATTTTGCTTTTATTCAAAGATTTTTCACTTTGGCATCTTAACTGACAGATTCAATCTCTTGCTTCACATTTTTCGTACGGCGAGCATATTTTCTCTTGGGTTTAAGAAGCGCGCTAACTTCTTTATCCTCCGATACGGCGAACGATACAAATAAACACGAATAAGGCATATCTTTCGACCCATGGAATGAAAGGCTGCAAAGTACATTTGATTTTAACACTATGCACAGTCAAAAAAAAAAGAGAGAAATTAAACGCACAAAATTACACATAGAAAAAGAAGACAACCGAGAAAAAGCAGAGCAAAAGCTTGCCGCCCCGAAAAGATTTTCTCTTCATCGTCTATTTGTCTGTGTTTGATTTTTTTTCTCTTTCTCTTTCTCTATAAAGAATTCGCCACAGATGATTCTTTATTTTGATGATGCTTTTCATTTTATTTGAGTTTCATTTCGTTTGGTATCTATCGTCTTTATTTTGCTTCTTTGTTTGGATTTCATCATAATCTCTTACTTTGTTAACAATTATTTTAATTCCCAACATAAAAGTTATTGCTAATATATGTAGACACGATTGACCCACGGCATTTTTATGCTCAACAATACAGCATTTGATTTATGGTGCAAAGATGTTTATTTGCCGTTCTTATGGTTGATTTCATTCTTTTACATTTCTTAGCATACATTTCGGTTTTTTATATTCGAAGTCGTTTGTGTTTTAAAAACTTTCAAACAAAAACGTAAAAAAAAGTGCAAAAGAAAGGAGGCAAACACAAGTTGCAAAATAACAAAAGTACTCGTTACCGTTAATATGAAGCCGCACCGAATGTGATGGAGGCAGCTGAGAAGTGCGTACGCCGAAAATAATAACATTGCGAAAAAATTCTTAAAATAATCATCATTAAGCAAGGTTCGCTCGGTTAATGCCAGCCGAACGTTTATTCAATTATTCATGAATATCATAATAAAAACAACACACAGCGATAATAATAATGGTCTAATGAAAATGTATAGGTTTACGGTGTTGTTGCTTTTAACGTTGGTGGCACCATTTTCGTATATCGATGTGTTTTCATGTGTTTAAAGTACGAAAGCGCACACATTTTCAAGACTTGTTTGTTGTTTTCTTTATTGCAAATCGTATCGCTATTTGATCATGCCAACCAACCAGCCAGGCAGAGTCATTCAGTCAACCAAGGAAGGGTGCCGTCATTTAACTCACAGCACCAACAAAATGAACAGAACAAAACTTTTATCATTCGACTCTGTCGTTTGCTGTCGTATTTCTTAACGCTACAACGGTTATTATTTAAAAATAAGTGGCAAACGTAAAAAAAAGAAAGAAAAACTTTGCGAGTGTTAAAATTTATATTTGAACGAGACTTTTTCTTCGATTCGTTGCCCTTACCATTATAGATTCATCGAAAATTGAATGCCACATTTGGGCGACACACAGTCGCCACCATTCATTCTTCTCTTCCCGCTCCCCACACCCAACAAAACACATAAACTTATATTCAGCATCAATGTGGGATATTTTACTCTTTTTTTATTTGTATTATTGCTAGAGGTATTTCATTGCGACAATGCATTGGATCCATCAGTTTCATAGCACAAAGAAATATGTACAGAGAATGTGTGAGAGGATTTGCTATTTGCTATAGAGAGTTAAAGAGTTGTGTGTATGTATTACATGCTGGAATTTTTCGAATTACTTACTGTTTTTTAATTCGAGCCACGTTTTGAACGTTTTTGAAGCCTTTTTTGTTCACACTGTCCGCTCCTGTGACAGATGATGGTCCTCTCTCTGTGTGTGTGCACACAGCATAAGTTAAAAGACAATTTATGTGCGTGCGAATGTGTACCGTTTTCACAATCGGCGTGAGAACACTATAAAAACCAAAGTAGAGAAGACTCAAATGTGGATGTGTGTAATAAATTCGAAGACCAACAATTTCAACAACTGCGGTGTGAATGTGAAATATAATCCGCTATTGTCACCAACCACTTATAATCATTGATAGATTTTTATTCTTTTTGCACTTTTGCACTCTCTTTTCGCCACTTTCGAATATTATTCAAGCATTTGAAATTGTTATGATGATTTCGATGGCGTTTCAACTCTATTTGTTCGAAAAGCCACTATTCCATGGTGCCTCGGATGCTTGTTATTGTTGATATTGGTGGTGATGTTGTAAGAACTGATGTTTGTTTTCCCACTTCTTCTTTTTTGTTACTATTTCGAACGGATCAAGAGATATTATGCGATTCTCGGAGTCGAATGCAATCCAAATAAAAACCACTTAAAAATTTCTTCAACTTTCAACACAAAATAAAACTTTTCTTTTCTCGCAATAATATGTATAGATATATGCGTGAGTGTGTATGTTGGTCGATGGATTTCGTATTTGTTCCCTTCTATTTACCTCGTATTCGATTCTTCTTTTTGTGGCTTTGCGCTTTTTTACTATGCTTTGTTGATTTTATTTTTGCATCCAGTGTGTCTCCTGTATTTTACATACTCAATGTTTTTTTCTTTGCTTCTTCTTTTCGGTTGTTTTCTTTTTATAACGCCTGCACAATGCCCTTAGCTAATGCATTTTTTGTGCGTTTTCTTCACCATCTAGAAGGCCTTTGTTTTGCAATCAACTTTGCCTAAACGGTGTAGAAAGACAACGAGAATAGAGAGAGAGAGAGAGAGAGAGAGAGAGAAGAAGAAAACGAAACAAAGAAAAATCAACAATGAAATGGATCTTAAAAAGAACAGTGTGACCGAAAAAAAGAGCAAACCTCAAAGGCTAGAAGCATTTCGATATGACTTGGTACATCAGTTGGAAAGCTTCAACGATGTCGACGACGCCAACGATATGGTAATGGTGACTCTGTGTCGTCGCGTTTTTCTACACATATAATATGTAAACAAAATTTCCCTGAAGTCAAAAATCGTATATCGCAAACACGTTTCACGAACAACAAAAACAGTTTACGAAATAATTTCCGTGCGAAATGGCGACGAAAGCAGTGATCGTGGCTGCCGACCAAATGCAACTGTTCCAAAAAGACTTTTCAATTCGGTTTTGTACTCTCAATTGGGCGCTAAACGAGAGGAAAATACGACGAGAAGTGCGAATGTATGTTGAATATATTCAACGGTTGCCACTGATGCTGATGCTGCTAGTGGTTGTTGCTATTGCTGCCGATGTGATGTGTATAATACAGGCAAAAGCTGGCATTCTGCGAACGCTGAGATGCGATATGCGAAAGATGAGATCCGGAGAGTTTTTGTTTGTTTATACACACTTGCGTCGCACATTGATGACTTGCTGAGCACGTACAATCGCGCGTTCGACAGAGAGCAAGCGAGAAAGAAAAGTCTTTGAAATAGATGAGCACAAGCGACAGCATTATGGAGCATTGACAGAGGGTGAAAAAGGAGCCAAAGCATCTCAGTGTAACATATTATTTACGGTTCTACATTTTGCTTTGGTGCTGTGTGTTTTATTTTTCCGTCTTTCTATTATTCCATTTTCGCTTTTGCCGCTGTCGCTGTCGCTGCTACATCAGTTCGCTTGGAATGTTGTTGTTGTTTTATGCGTTGGATACTGCATTGGTATGCGAACGGGCTCGTGAATATTTCGTTAGATATATATATAATATACGTATGTTTGTTTGCACACTGTACACGCGCACCGTTCGATGTGTGCGTATGATGGATACTAATAGTTCAGCAATACTGTTTAACAATTCGATTCGATTCGCAGACTGCAATGATATATAGGTAAATGTGGAAATGAGAGAAAATTATGCGTTTCGATTCATTTTTATTCGGTGAAAATTTGTTCGAAGGGATAAAATTACGCACGCCAAGGGAACACGAATCGGTTATGCGATTGCTACAGCTACAGTTGCTGCTATTAGATGCGCCATAATATCGAGAATGCTTTTCGCTCTCCGCTGTTCGCATTTCGTACAATCCAAAAGAAGGCAAAAATCGGAATTTACTGGTTGATATGGGGATTTTCTTTTATTCTGGTTGCTTTTTATGTGCTTTTATATGTGCACATTGTACCAAATAATTCGGCAAGACTGGATAAACTGGTATGAACCATAAAATTACGAAAATCTCATATATGTGTGTGTGTGAGAGAGAATGTCGTTGCGGTTCAATGTTTGTTCAGTTGTTCTTTTTCTTATTTTAATTTTTTTAGTTGGTTCGTTCGGTGCCGTTTTGAATTTGTGATGCTCAGCACTTTTCACATCAAAAAGCATCCAAAGTGAGAGACGGTCACATATATGTCTCAGATGCTGCGTATAACAATTGTGGCACGACAATAATAAAACTCATGAAATAATTTCTTTCAACTATTACGATAATAGTTATTGCGTTTATATAAACACTAACATGCTTATATGTTATGCAAAATGCGCCTAAGGTCTAAAACCCATCACCAAATGGTACATGTACTAAGTGCTGCTGCCTGTCTCTTTGCCATGTACACTGGGGGGTGTACAGTAAAAGAGAGGATATATTAAATTCACCCGCAATGAAGAGGATGGGGAGCGAGAGCAAGCAAAGTGAGCTTCAACAGCACCAACAGCACCAACATTCAATTGAAATTTGCATTGGGATCTGTTTGTGTATATGTTGACGCATCTACATATGTGAATAATGAATATACTATAAATTACTCATGCATGTGCCGTTATCGATGTGCAAAAGCATCCAACACAAAGCGATACATTTACCACGAAACATAAAGTGTTGCGTATGTGTGCGTGTATCACTTTTACGAAAATGAACAGTGATATTTTTGAGAGATTGCTTAATTGACCGAAATAATTAAATCCATTTTATATTGTTTTCAGTTTCGTACTAAACAAAATCAAACTCAATTTGCAAGACGATGAAACATTTTCTCGACGAATGACAACACAAAAATGACTGTATTATACCATCATTACGCGCCAATTCAATAAAATGTGTGTCAACGCATATATGAAAAAGTGTGAGCGACACGGAGTGAGGAAAGACATCGAGAAAAGAAAAACAATTATGCTAACGAAAGGGACAAAATGCTCATCATTAATCTCAATAAAATTTATGGGCGGGCGAAAAAAAAAAACTGAAAATCACACAGTAATGAGCAATTTTTAATGTGACAACGAGGACAAAAAAGATGATTTCCATTTTTGAAATAATATATTTTCATTTTTCTGTTGGGTTATTGCTTGGCACATGGAATTCATCAGTGTACCATCATCCATCCAATCATTTGAGCTGTTTCAGCAATTTCAACGAAGAATACCCAATCTTGTAGATGACCTACTTTCATTTGGCGCGCACTGCATACATTTATCCATTATAATTTTTTAATTGTAATATAACTTTGTAATTCGTTTCACTCCGCATGCCGGAAATATGACAGATATTTTTGGTGCATCGAATTGAAGCAATTTATTGATTTCAAACGTAATTCACATGCTATATAAAATGTATAAAAGTTTTCACCGCATATTCGTTCCAAGTGGTTGCTAAGTGGCCAATGCAACGAGAGCACACACACATTCACTCACTCAAAAAAGTTCAACTATAATTTCCGATGATGAGTGAGATAGGAAGCAGGCGAAACTAGCAGCAGCTCAATTTTTAGTTTATTTTATTTTGTTCGCCTTTGTCGAATCGGATTTTTTTTTTTATCATGAAACTAGTTTTGATGCATGCAACAAAATCATGAAAACTATCACATTTATACTCTGTGAATGAGAAAAGTTCCAAATGAACATTCTTTTTCGTTTGCATAAATTTAATAGCATTTCAATGTTGAACAGTTAGAAGTCTGTTGATTGCATTTCATTCAAACTGTAAATCAGATTTTAGTTTGAAGTTTTGCACTGTCGTTTTTCTTTAAATTTCAATTTATTGGCGGTGTGAATACGAACGGACAGCACCAGTATGGGTTTTGTCACAGTTTGGCCAACAAATTTGTTTGGAATTTATCACGAAAAAAAAGCGTTGCAAACTGTTTGAAAAATTAAATATTTTTGTGGTTGTATGACATGGTTATAATGCATTTGACTTTTTTATTACACGCACATGTCTTGTCCTGAAACATTTTATACAAACGATTTAAGCGACAGATTAAATAAAAAGAAGAGAATATTCCATTCCACATTTTTTTCGAATATAAATTGCAAAACGACGAATCAACGTTCAATAATAAAATAATTAGTATAATTGATTCAGAATGTGGAATATGGAAATTTGATTCAAAATGCATCCAATCTATTCGTTCCACTTTCAAATGGCTTGGGGCTTTAATTTGATTAACCTTTTGTTTGCTAAAGCAAAGGTTGTAATGCATCAAACCATATACTGAAGATGTAAATCAACAAGTGCGAGCACAGCAAAATGATTTATTGGACAAACAAATATCCAGCATGCTTACAAATTAATTAGTCTTATTTGTTTGCTGTTGCGTTTATAAATGATGCATCACGGTTTAAGGCAATAATTTGCATCGTTATATAATTTTGAATGGGCTGGCATACACGAGCCATATCAATTCGCATGGCCACCGGGAATGAGCAATGCTCATCTATATCATTTCGCTGAAATCTGATCGGAATTCCATTAAAAATGCTCGAGATTGATTTTGCACATAATAAGGCACCCAGGTGTTTTGAAAGATGTGGGCTCGTATGCAAATCGCTTTCAATTTGATTAAAAGCAATTTTCGAAATCACTTCCAATATACATTTGCTAAACTTTCTATTGAAAAAAAGTCCAAAGCCAATTGGATTACAACTTAATTCAATTCAGAATTGATAATTCATGAACAAGCAAAAGTTTCGGCGTTAAACTATTCTAACGTCTCACCAAGAGAGGTCGCTCTCATCGAAAGTATAAACAACACACACACACATACACACAATCAGATTTCACACGTGCGTAAACCATGATGTATTTTGACAGTTTGCCCATTCAAATCAACATAACCGCAACGCAATATACATCGACAGCAAAACACAGCAATGGATGAAGACATGGATTTCGAAACCGTTCCAAGTAAATAATAATCATTTAATATATTCTAATTTTCATTTTTAAAAACATCTGTTTTTTTAGAGGAAAATTTTGGTAATGATCCGACCAAAGCGAAAAAGAAATTTGTACATCCAAAGAAAACAGCAGATGAACGGAAATCAGAGAAGGAGAAACGTAAACTTCGAAAGGCTCGTGTTATTTTACGAAATTTACCATTCAAAATAAGCGAAAGCGATTTGTCCAAGGAATTTTCGAAATATGGCCCGATTAAAGAGTGTAACATTTTAAAACGTGAAGATGGCAAATTGGTGGGCTGTGCATTCATTCAATATGATAAAGTAAATCATGCGGCAAAAGCAATCCATCATGCCAATGGCAAAGATTTATTCGGTAGACCGGTTATCATTGATTTTGCGGTCAATCGAAAGAAATTTGTTCAACACATACGCCAACAAAAAGAGCTGAACAACCAAGTGAAGGTTAAAAATGAAGATGACACCGAGTCAATGGAGATTAAGCAAGAGAGTGAAGATGAAAACAGTGCGAATGAATCGGAAGACAATAATGATGATGAGCACAGTGAGGAGGAGGCTAGCGAAGGCGGTGAACCAGATGATGACAACGAAAACGACGATGATGAAGAAGAAGAGGACGTCAAAGATGAGAAGAAACCCATTCATCAAAAATCAAATGATGTCGCTGAAGGATGCACGGTATTCATCAAAAACATCCCATTCGAGTGTACAAATGATGATTTGTATAAAGTGTGTCGTCAATTCGGGCCTTTATATTATGCTGTCATTACGGTCGATAAAGTGTCTGGCCACAGCAAAGGAAATGGATTCGTGAAATATCGGGTATATATTTTTGGTCCAATTAAAAAAAAAACACCATCGTAATAGTGAAAAATAATAAGAAGAATTTTTTTTAAAGACAAAGGAATCGGCCGATATGTGTTTGAATGCTGGCACCACATTTAAATTGCTTCATCAAATTTTGGATCCACAACCGGCATTATCACGCAATGAAATTCAACAGAAGAAAACTGGTGAACAAAAGCAACCAAGAGATTCACGAAATTTGTATTTATCAAAGGAGGGAACTATTTTGGCTGGTACACCAGCAGCTGAAGGTGTTTCTGCATCGGATTTAGCGAAACGATTACGATTAGAACAAAGTAAGAATCAATCGTTGAGAAATTTAAATCGTTTTGTTTCAAAAGAACGTGTAACCATTCATAATATACCGCCGAGCTACGATGATGCAAAACTCCGAAAAGCTGTCGTCAAAGCATGCGGTTTAAAGGTATGTTCAACATTCCTCTCAAATGTTTTTGTTTTTGTTGTTGTTATCGACAATATAATTAACTGAATATCAATTTTTTGTTACAGCCAAAAGAGTGTAGGGTGATGCGGGAAAATAAACCATCACTCGGCCATCCAAATGGAAAATCAAAAGGGTACGGATTTTTATCATTCAAAAGTCATGATGAAGCACTGAATTGTCTCCGTAAAGTCAACAATAATCCAAAAGTTTTTGGAAAGAATAATGTAGGTTTCTTTTTGAAATTCAATCTTCTCGACAAAAATCCATTAATTAATTAACTTTGTTTATCCAACAGAGACCAATTTTGTCATTTAGCATAGAAGATCGTGCTGTACACAATATTAAAATGAAGCGAATGTTGAAGTCACAGCAAAAAAATCCATTGTGCAAAAAGAAGAATGTCAATAGCAAAAATAACAATAACAACGAAACTGATGTCAAACCAAATGCAAAGGCATTAAAAAAACTGAAGAAAAAATCATCGAAAAATGAGACCAACGAAAATGGTGACATCAAAGTGGCTGAATTCGCTGGAACAACAGCTGAAGAAGGAAGTAAATATAAGACACGACCACAATGGAAACTCCGAGAGGATAATGTGTCTCATAGCCGAATGGTTAAGGCGCAAAAGAAAATGCTGAGAAAACAAAAGATACAGCGTGACATTCGAAATGAAAAACGACAAATTGATCGTACAAAAATGAAAAAACGCAATCCAAAAGATGTCGATAGTTCACTAGTAAATAAATATTTAAAAATTTTACATTCGAAAGACGAATCACCAAACAAACCGAAAAGATCCAAATGGTATATTGATTAAAATATTTTATTTTTTTATTTTCATTTTGTTTTTAATTAAAAAATAATAATAATAATAATAAATGATTAAAGTAAAAATTGTTTTTTATTAAAATAAATCAATAAATTTGTGAGCAATTTTTGTGCTTTTGGATTGGAATAAATTCTCTTTCGAAATGCAAGACCGTCTTCCGATTTGTTTAAAAATTGTTTCACATCATTGTCGCCTGCATCGTCCATAGAACGCAATGGAACAATGAATAAACTGAAAAATGCACCAAAACAACCTCGCAATTCAAATTCGTGTTGAAGTTGTTCTTTAGTTGGTATAATTGTTGATGGCAGTTTTAGCTTTATCATTGCGTCGATCAATTGCTCAAAATAGTAATCAAATAGTTGATCGTACTCTGTCGATGTCACCGTATCGTTAGATGATGAAAAAACTAAGTAAGATAGATCGAGAATGGGTGAACCGAAATAGCATGTTTGGAAATCCAACTGCAAAATAAACATTTCCATTTATGAAATATTGTTTTAAATGCAAATTAAATGAAAAAGAACGTACAAATAATGGCAATGCATCAATGTTCGAATCCATATTGAACATAATATTCATCGACCATAAATCGCCATGATTTAATACATTGATCGTACTGTGATTGCGTTCAACAGCTGTGCAACATTTTTCAAACACTTTCTCAATTAATTGGCTTAATTTTCGAACAATGTCCAATAAATCGGAGCGATTTTCGAATGCCTGAGAGCAGCTATATACGGCATTTTCAAAGAGTGTTTTATAGTGCGGTGAACCATTAAGATGTACATGTGGCTTTTGAAATAAATCATATAATCGTTGGGAAGTGTCCTAAAAAAATAAGTTGACATCAATTTAAAATGAAATAGTCCCTGATTAAAAAAAAAAAAACATATTATATACGTTGGTATTTATTTTAACAGATGCAGCATGCCAAAGAGCCAGCGCATTTATACATTGTTTCAATTGATCGAAGTTCAGACCTTGTGTTCGTGCAACGTTTTTGTAATTGCTTAAAGTTAAATCTTCCAATATCAAATAAGATTGTTGCCGATCACTGCTATAACATCTGTAACAATCATAATGGTATACAATGATATCAAGATAGGATAGAAAATGATGTACCTGGGTGTTAATTTCATTGGAATGGATGCAGCCATAAGAACACTCTCCATTTTTGGAACAATTTCATCGTAAATACAAATTTCTTTTGCAAAAACATCATGACTTCGAACCAATTGTTCGCCCAATGATGCTTTAATTATGAATTGTTTGCAATGAGTGCCAGTATCATTGGAATATTCAACATTTGCTCGAATCAAACAACTACTATAGTTGTCGCCATTATCAAATGCCGGTAGTATAGCAAACCTTATAATTTTATTCGTTAATCCATCTTGATTTAAAGCTCTTTCAAATAAATTGCTATTTAACCAAGAATATTTTCTAAAGATTTCCTGAGAAGCCATTTTAAATTTAAAACAAATTAAAAACCAGACCGAACAATCGAATTCACGTCCATTTTCTTTTTGTTACCAATACACACACATACACTACGTTGTGACGTTCAAAGTACATTTATGTTATTTTACGATCACATATATGCTTGAGTTTGGTTAATTCTTTCTCCACTTTCTCCAGCTTCCTCTTCTGGCATTCTAAAAACTAATACTATTGTCGAAAAAGATTTCGTGAATATATATATATATTTATTATATGACATTAAAAACTTATTATGAATGTACTTCTGTTTCATTTTTTTTTTTTTTGCAGTTTTCTTTGTTCCATTTATTATCATAATTATTCATACTTATATTCATAATTATTCAATAAAAAAAAGAAGTATGCTATTTGAATTTAAAAAAAAAGAAAGAAAAAAGGTCATTGGATAGAACAATTTCGAACATATGATTTGCATATTGTGCAATGTGCTAAGTTGGCGCTTATAAATCGTCTAATCCAATATCCAGTCCATCATCCAAGCCATCATCGGGATTCAAATCGTCAAATAGATCGTCATCAGCATCGTCGTTGTCGTTGTCTTTGTCTGTGTCGGTTTCCTTATTTTCTGGCGTTTTCTGTGGGGGTTCTGCATAGTCATCAGGCTAAAAATAGAAATTGAACAGAATATTATATGTTTGATTTTCACATTAATGTTTGTCACACACACACACACATACCTTTTCCTCTTTCACATTTGATATATTTGGAGCACTTTTCAGCTCCCAATGTTGGCTTCCATAACTCTTTGATCCAGAGTTTTCATATTCATTATTATCGTCGTCATAATCATTATCACTGCCGTCAAAATCACCTGAATTTTTATGAAAACATAATATTAATAATCTTTTCCATACATTCAATCGATAAATCACATTAAATACATACTATGGCCAAAAGCATCTTCTTCATCGTATGGATCGTTGTCTCCATCGTAACAGAAACCATCTTCCGAATTATTTTCGTCCTCAGAGACTGGCTCTTGTTTAACATTAGTACCAAGAAGAGTATCATTTGATGCGTTAAGTCCATCTATAAATCAAAAATAAATTTAAAATATTAGTAAGTTGAATGACGAATGGAACCAACAATATTCGTAATATTATAATTTTGAGAGGGAAAGATAGAGAGAGAAAAAGATCTTACAGCCTTGTTTTCGCAGTTCTTCTGCCTTCTCTTTAACATTTGCTTTGCTATCAACCATTTCATCGTCAAAGAGTGGTGCACCTGATGGTTTTTTAACTTCTTTTTTATCACCATCAGTGCCTTCTCCTTCCTCCTGCAATACCATCATTTCAATTAATAAATGTTCAATGGTCATGAAAATGGGCCCAAATTTAAATTGATTAATTTACCTTTTTGGTTTTTTTGCCTTTTTCTGATAAACCAACGCTGCCTTTGTTGCGTCTAAATCGAACAACCAGACTTCTGGCGTCGATTGTTAAATTATATGTACTTTTAAATGCTTCCATTGAATCTTCGACAGAATCGTAGTGAAGAAATGCGTAACGCGTAAATTTTGTACGTTGAGCATAACCAATATCAATTCGTTTTGCCGTTGGAAATTTCTCTTTGAAAACTGTAACATTTAATTTTGTTGGTAAATTACCAACATACAGTGTATATGGATCTAGTTGCTCGGGCGTTACCTATTTCGTATTCATTGATTTGAGATGTTATTTATGGTACGGTATATCCGTTTTCGTTTTTACCACCATTTTTATTTGGTTTGTTTTTGGTTTCAGTTGTGAATAGTTACAGTGAAAAAGTCAGTCGGTCCCAGCGATTTTTTTTTTCTTCCAAAAATCGTTTTTCCATTTATCCAACTGAACATTTTTTCACATTAAAACTAAAAACAACGGCACTTACTTCAGAAACTTCATGACGAGTTATTTTATTTTCCACGGATATTTTACCGGTGCCAAATTCGATTTGTGAAATTTCTTTTTTCACTTGTTCGATATCGGCATCGGGTTTTAATTGTACGAAACAGTATCTGTAGCGAAAAAAAAAAAATCATCCAATTTAGTAATTTGAAGTGTGTGTAATTTGAATGGAATAGAGCAAAAAAGATGGTGGAATTATCTTACCGGGCTCGGGATGGTTGTTGAAAATGAACTGTTTCAATTGCGGGTGAATATGAGTGAATTAATGCTTTGTTGAGTTCAGGATCAGGGAATCGTAAAATTAACATGGGCACCTTTTTTATTAAATGATTATATGCATTTTCTAATGTTAATGCTTTATGTGCGTCTTCTTTGTTCCACTCTTTTTTGCATGTGTACCGTTCAGACATTGGTTTTCTACGTGCTTTTTTATTAACCTTGAGTGTGGCTGTAATCATTGAAAACAAATGCCATCAGTATAAATATGCATTGAATAGATGCATCAAAATGTGCACATTTCGACACCAGAATACTTACGTTTTGGGGAATTATTATCTTCTGGTTTGCCGTCATTCGGTTTATTTGATTTGGACGATGTGCCCGGCATACTTGAGTTAAGATTTGAACCATTTTTCTGATTATTGTGATTCTGATGATTTTGATGATTTTGATGATTTTGTTGACTGTGATGGTTTATATTCTTTTTATATGGCCCTAAATTCATATACCTGCCAAAAATACAATCATATTAATATTGTCCATGTTTTTTATTTCAATTACAGTCCGATTTTCAAAGTTAAAATAATTTCCACAGAAGAAAAAAAAAATGTACAAAAACTCAGTACGTACCCCTGTTGATCGGGTCGAAGTGAATTTCTAGAGGGTGTGCGACGCATATTATTGCCCATATTTGGATTTCGACGTGAATTCATTGAATTGTGGGGTGGAGGGGGTGGTGGCGTCTCTATTGGAGGTCTGTCCAAAGGCAGTGGCGGCGGTGGCTGCATCGGATTGTATAATGCCGCACTAAAGATCATTAAAATACCATAAGTATTAATTATAATTTCATCAAGACATAGACCAATTGAAAATGGTCGGCGTCGATACAAAGGTTAAGTACGACAGAAAAAAAAAGTGAACAAAGATTGAATGCTATTTTTTTTCAAGAAAATTTCTTAAATAAATTCTACCTTGGACTACTCCATTGCATCATCATATTTTGCGGCTGATACATATTCATATTTGCATGATTTTTTGGATCGGTCCGAGGATCGACCCACATCGGTGATTGATATGAATAATATGAGTTGCTGCTCGATGGTGATTGAGGTATCGGTGGACGATTATCACTTGTAAATGAGAATCGTTTATTTTTATTGGACATATCATCACCGTGTCGCTTCATTTTGATTTCGATAAATTTTTTTCGCTGCGTTTTTTTTTTGTAAAAATCTTAGCTAAACAGCCGCTGTGCTTTCTTATATACACGAAATTTGAAACAAATATAGTCTGAGTCTATACAACAATTCAACGCGAAAACTAACGCGCTTAGAATTTTTTTCCCTTTATAATAAAAATATATTCGGCATTCACTCAATACACATATACGCAATGAATATAACTAAATATTAGATTTAAACTATCACTTGTCCCTATAATAAAGTTTTTAGTTTTTATCTCTTTTCAGTTATTCTTAACACACTTTTCTTTTTAATTGAAGAACTAAATTAACACCATGTATCACTACTGCTTTCAACAAAATACTCTGAAATTTCAGTGCTGTTTTGACATTATGCTTGGTTTGGTTTCATAAAAATCAAAATGGTGTCCAATGGTATTCATAGTTTTCAAAACAAAAATCTAGTACACACCGTGTACATTCTCCTCATAGAATCGAATTGACTGGAAAATGGAGAGAGATTGCATGTGAATCGAACATAAGGTCTCACTAATAATTTTAATACTTTTTTAAATATTTTCCTTCTTTTTAATTATTTTTTGGAAATTCTTTTAAATTATTTTCAACTTTGATCATTGCTACTATGTGCTGAAACAAAAACATACATTTATACAGGATTTCTTGAAATTAGTGTAACCGTTTCAAAATCATGCAGCACATAGAATTGTTCATCAGACAGAAAAAAAAGGTCAAATGTTATTATAAAAGATTTGAACGAAAAAAAAAATCAAAAACAATTCATGAAATATTTTTTCGAAAAATTTTGATTTCAATTTTCAACTTCAATGTGGACACCGCATTACTATCGTAAGTGCGATGAAAGAAAAACATAACCAATTTTTGTTTGCTATTGTTTAAAAGACTCAAAAATGAATTCAATTTTACGGTTGGAAAAATTCAGAATTTTGGGAAAATATATTGTTGGGAGAAACACGTGGCAACCGGAGTAAGATACTTTTGAATGACATAAAATGGTTGTTAATCAAGAAAATTAATGAATTTCGTTCGTTTTCAGACGATATTTTCAAACCAGTCAAATAGCATTAAAGCAAGTGCTTACCAAAACGCTACGAATCAAACATGAAGATTACTATAAACGAATGGATCGTGTACCGCAAGATTATGAAATGATTTATAAATTTCCCTTGCAGTATACAATGAATTTTGGTAAAATGCTTTCTGTTGTCGTCCCCGTTGGTCTATCATATGGCTTGTATACTTGGCTATTCAGTACAACCGAGGCCGTACAATTTGTTGGATCACTTGCTGCCAGTGAAGATCAGCTGTTACTTTTTGTCATGGTTCTCTTTGGCACAAATGCGATCGTTTATCGAGTTTGTGACGTGTTGACACTTCGAATTTACCGAAAAGATAAATCGTAATCATATAGTCAAATTTCGAATAAAAAATTAAATCTTATGAATATTTCTATATTTTCAGTTACATAAGGATTCAACCCAGTATGATACCCAGATATGATATAAAAAAGTATTTTGAAGAGGGACAAGTGAAAGAGAATTTCAGCGCAATATCAGTTTTTAGAGGTCTTAATTATAAAATCAATAACAAAACAGCATTGTTAGTACCCGACCGATTTCGAAAATCAAGCGATTTATACCAAATGCTTGATGTTTCTGATTCGAAAAAGTATAAACCGGAATAATTCATTATGTAGTTAGTTATGTATCGGTAATCGCAATAAAATTAAAATTGTTATCAAAATTGATTTTTATTGGTGAAAAATCAACAACATTCAATGTCGTTTCAATATTGCGGCATTTTTGACATTTCTCATGCCAGACAGTAAACAGATAAAAAAACGTCAACACTGCCAATGATTGTGGTTATGTATGATTCATTTCGTATTTTAATCTTTGGTCACAATAATGAATTTCATTCCACAACTATGCAATGTTAGTAAATATGCCGGTGTTAATTTTCAGATAAAAATTGCTCGTCCCATTTTCATTGAAAGGTATGACAATTCATTGAAATTAAAACCAATTATTTTATTAAGTATTTTTTTTTAAATTTCAGCAGGAAATGGTTATCAACGAACAGTAAATCGATTGATCGGAAGAAGAAACAAGATGCAGTAGACGAAAAGTTTCAATTGATCTATAGTCCACCGCATTGTCATTTACTCTCAACAGGTAGATCAGTATGTGCATTGGGTTCCATCATTTGTCCACTATTCCTAGTCGCATACGCTTTCGATCCGAGTGCCGAACAGCTTTCAAACTATGATCTCGCGCTGATGGGAGGAGTGGCAATTTTTTCCATTGTTGGATTCTACACTTGTCGATATTTTCCATTGCGAGTTTATAAACATGAGAAAGAGTATTGATTTTTGATTGATCAAAAAAAAAAAATTGATTTTGTTTTAATGCTTTTGTTTGTTTGTTTGCAGGTACATTGCAATTATGCCAGGTGTATTACCAAATATGAATCGAAAATTGTGCTTTGCAAAAGGCGATCTCAAGGAAAAAAAGCGAACAAATGGCTGGTTCAAAAATGTAGCCGAAAAATTAATTTCAATTTTTTTCAGTGATTCACGTGCAAAGCTTCCAACATTTTACAAAGTGAATAACAGTTACATTAGTTTAACAACAAAATGTTTTGAGAAACCAATTCAATTGTTGGAAATGTTTAAAAATACCGAAAAATACGTTCGAAAAATCAAACAATTAGAGTCACAAAAACGATAAATTTTAATTTTAATATGCGAACACGCATTGGTCCGCGAAACAAGGAAAGATTTGAATTTTTTTTTTGAATCAAACACTTACATTTGATGAGTTCGATTGTAAATATAATTTTAAACAAATAGTTGTTGAACGATCAATTATAATGTCTTGAATGATGAAAGAAGAAATATAAATGAAACCTGACACATGCGTAATGTTTTTTTTAAATATTTCTTTATTTTCGATTGTTTCGTAATTTACAAAAAAAAAAGATTTGTATGTTTCTTTTAAATACGTACTTAACTTAGGGCAGATTTCGGAAAATTTTAATTTTACCACATGAGAAAATCAAAAGAAGAGACTTCAAATTTAAGAGAAGAAAATTGTATAATAAAATAAAAAACTCCTCTTCCTTTGCTGGATATGAAATGCTAAAAACAATTAATATAATTTGTTTTTCCGTGTAAAATGGCATTCTTCCGAATTCTGCTTATTTATTTTTTTAAAAACTGTACGACGGTTGTTTTATCTATTCACAGCAATTCGTCTATATATAAAAAAATATAATTATTCGAAATACTGTCTGAATTATTACATTACTTACATTTAATTAATCTTACTAATTGATAAAACGTTCACTTAATTTGTTCTACAATCGCACTGATAATTGCTTTTTAGTTCATTTCGACAGTTCAGTTTTATTGCTAAAATTTATTTTACTATTGTTCGATTGTGATAGATTCAGACGAAAAGAAAAACGATGACAAACAAATGAAGGAAAACTTTTTTAAAATGTAATGTTTCCGTAAACGCTTTTTTCCTCTGTCCTTGTATCCAGTCATTTGCTATTGCTAATTCTTATTTGTACAATGCGCTAATCTCGCTTCAAAACTCTTCATCAATAATACATTCAAAAATCGGAACAAACGTTTGTTTGAGGTAAAGTCCAGAATCGAAGTTTGTTACGGCATACGAGTTGAAAAAAGAAAAAAACAAAAAAATCTCTCTTTGCTGGTGGCTATTAGTGCATTTTGTTTATAATTGGACGTCACTAAAACGTGAATCAGAATTTTATTGCTTGTTGCTTTGGGAAGTAGGAAGTAGGAAATTTGATAAAATCGAAATGTAGTCGAAAAAAAAATTAGATTGTGGATTTTTTTTTTCAATTTTTAATCAAATGACGATAAAAAAATGGTTGTGCACACGATAATCGCAGTATGGAGCATATAAATCAATATTTGAGATAATTTTTTCGTTTTATTTCTTTGTTCGTTGCACATTTGGTACTTCATCTAAAATATATTTAAAACTGTTTTGGTGGTAACCACTTCATTCATACGCAAACAGGCTTTGAATATAAAAAGTGCTGAGTATTTTGTTCATATGAAGAAAATTCACAAAACGAAAAAATTAATTAAGACAACACATATGCAATCACACACAAAAAACGATTAAAGTACATAGCCGATTTGATTTTCAACATAAAAAAATGCACACATTTGATAGATAAATCACAATCGATCACAATGTGGGCATTATTTGAATCGACCATATACTTTTTACGCAATAAATAGGCCTGTTACTTATTGTAAAATGCAGTCGATCGTTTGAAGTTTACATTTCATATGGAATGCAGTATTGTTGCGCTCTGGCCGTATTTAAATCAAGTTGCGATGTTCGTTCGAAAAACGTGGGTGTACGCACAATGATCCGTGTATGAATTTTTTTTTTCAATTTTTCCGGAAGAAAATGTGATTCATTCGGAAAAATTATAAATTTTATATTTCATTGAGCCTTTGACTGTCCGCACACATTTATTATCGTCTTCTTTTTTTCTTCAAATGAATGTATTTGTTGCGATTTTTCCGTTTTCAATTTAAAGACTTCGTTATTTTCATAAAATATTTGAAATACTGGAGAAAAAAATGCCTACCTAAATTTAATTATATAATTTCTAATCACAAAGGCACTGAAGACTGTTTCTATTAAATTTGTTTCTTGTTCATTTACATAAAATCTGTATAATCATAACATTGAAATGTTCAGTAAATTTTTCAATAATTTTTGTTCTAAATACCTATCTATTCGTTTAACGTCTAATTTAGTGAATTTGGACGATTTGATAAAAATCGCGAATCGAACACGAGGGACGGGGACAAATGACGAAATTAAATGTTATATCCATGATAATATATCTTTCACTCTCGTTCTATTTCTTGCATTTTGTGTGTAGTTTTTTTTGGCATTTCGATCGTTCCCTTAATAAGTAAGTCAATTTTGTGCTTCATATATTGTTTTTAGAGTCTGGTCGGCATCCATGTATTGCTTGACATTTTCCATTTTCAGTTCGGTTTTTATATTCGGTGTTTAGCAATAGACAAATTTCCCCAAAATTGACAATAAAATTGATGTAACTAAAGCACTTGCTAGAATATGATGTTGATTTCCTGAGCCATTCGGTTCATCGTGGGCAAGTTGTTCATCGGCACCAGCTGTACATATTGTTTATTTATTGTTAAATTTGTTTCATACAATAAGAGATAAAGAAAGAAAAAGAAAACAATCATTATATTTAGTTGAAATGATTATCGTTTAAATGATGGTGAATTGTATGTGTGATGGAATTGTGTTTAAAGAATTATTAAAATTTGGTGCTTGAATTGGCGGCCAATAACCAAATATATATATATATATATATCTGTGTGAGCTGAATGACAGAATTTTAAATACATGCGATTTTTTTTCGATTTGATTTGGCTTTAATTCTTGTTTTTTGACTTTGATACAAAGGAAACAAAAGCCAAATACTGAAACGTGAAGAAGTGCAAGACGTGAACTATTTGTGAATAAATAACTGTTGATGAATTTTAAGTCAATCCCATTCGGACAAACGATGATTTTGAACAAAAGATAGAATTGAATGATAGATAGAGAATCTTCATGTTGCACCTGTGTGATGTGTGCATTGATTGAAAAAGAACACATAGAATTTAACAAAAACACACACATTTAAAAGTGCCGAGCTAACCATGTTTGATTCTTAATGTCATTTTTTCCATATTTACTACCATCAACAGTTATTTATGTTTATGGCAATAATCAAAATTGAATAAATAAAGACGAATGAACAACGTTAATTGCAATGTTCATTAGAATAAATAAAAAATTTAGTTAAAAATCATAACAAATTTAAAAAAAAACAACAAAACTAAATAAAAAAAATAAAATTTAAAATATAAAACATACATTCGTGTGCTTGGCACATATAGTTGAACCGCAATCTCTTCAACACGACGATTTCACACAATCTTTTTTTTCTTTGTTTGTGTTTTTCGTTTGAAAAACTTGTTTGCTTTTTTTGAATGCTTTTTTTTTTTAAATGAATAGGCTATAATTGGATTTTACGTATAAAAAAAGAACATATTTGATTGTGAAGTGCATCTAAGGGTATTCGTTTTCAATTCGATCGTTTTTAACTTTTTTTTATTAACTTCGACGATTCGAGCCTAAAAAAATGAACACACAACTCAATATAATAACATGGTTGCTAAAATAAACATAAAAAGAAATATTCAAATCAAGAAGATATATAAAGAAGCAAATATCTACTGGTGGAGGTGAGAAATTGGGATATCGGCTATATCTTGGGATCAGTAGGTATTGGCTTTCATCAACTGCATTCTCAATTCGCATGAGTTTTGGGAAAAGAGTGCAATCTTGGTTGTTCTACAACTACATTTGAAACTTTTAAAGATGAATCCCAATGGAATATTGTGCAAAAAATGAAGTAAATTTTGATATTGATTTTAAATCGAAAATGACTAATGTAAAAGATCATCAGCAACCATATTGCACATTTTGAAAAGGCTAAGTGTTTGTGCGTGTGTGTGTGTGCTTAGTGATATAGTGTTGTGTTCGTGCCGCTCGACATTTCTATTTCTCTACAAAAAAAATTCGACTACGGTTTCTCTACGAAATGAGTGAAAAAACACCATAATATGGAAATTTAATCGTGCGATGTGAATAAAAAACTAAACAATCTACATAGATACACAGGTGAGAGGAAAAAAAATATAGAGAAGATTCGTGCAAACGCGTAAAAAAGTGTATGATGATGCACTACAAACTACATCATTTGTGAATCATGTAAATCGTCATAAGCAAACAAGTATTAAACAAAACTAAACAACAACAACAATAAAAAAAGAGTGATAGTAATGAGGAAATATTTAAGTAGAAAACATTGCATTCCAGTAATAATGTGATTTTCAAAGAGATAGAAGTAAAACTACACAAACAAATCGAAAGAATAGAAGCAATGCTATTTTACTACTATGTACGTTTGAATACGTGTGCCAACCGAATTCAGAAATGCGTTTTGAAATCGTATCGTGCGATTAATTGTTGAATTGATTTTGGTTATTTGAATAGCCCTGTACCCGTGCATACACGTGTACATAAATGATTGACGATTTGCTTTCGTTTTCATAGCTATATGTTCAATGTTCAGAGGTGCATCTGTGCATCCGAACAATTTCAATCTCTCTACTTTTGTGCAGAAGAAATTCAAATAAATCACTCAAATTTTAATTAATTGACAGTATGTGTACTCAATGTTTGTTTTCTTGTTTTGTATTTTGTTTTTTTTTTCTCTCCTTCGCATGCGAATAAAAACACCGTATGGCATAAAATAACCCATAACCATTAAATTATGTATGACTTAGTGCAAACAGGTGAAAACATGCGTATGATTTTTTAAAACAAGCGCTCAAACTTTGCAATTTATTGCGATTAAATAAATGTGGTTGTCATTATTCTACTGTTTTGATCAAATCTTGCAAATGAAAAACTAATATGGAGAAAATGGATATAAAGGCAAAGGAAAAAGGAAAGGCCAATTTTGCATTTTGCTTTTTTTATGTCTGGATGATAAGAAAATTTGATAAAAAAAGGCAATTTAATTAATAATTTAAGTATTTAATGCAGATTAGCGAAACCGACCATGGAATTTTTTTTTGTCGTACTTGTTTTCTACCACTTGCTAGTTTATATGTTTAGTTCGTTGTTGTTTTTTTTTTCTTTAAATATCTCTGACGTTTTTTCCACGCGAAACATGTTCACTGTTCAGTGTTTTGGTTCGTCAATTAGGTGGTTGTTTAACATTAATTATTTAAGAGTAATTAATCTTTTTTTTCTGTTCAGTAATTTTAATGGATTAGTTTGTATTTAGCGACAACGTTAATTGTTAGAAGCAATGTTAGTAGGAAATGAAATGAAAATCATTAGGAATAACGGAAATTATATCAATTAACGGAGAAATAGGTGTGTATGCTTTCGGCACGATGATTTGTGTTAATCATGGTTTTTTTGTAAAAGAAATTATGGTGAAAACCCCTTGAAATGAACATAGTTCGATGGTTGATTAAAAGAAATTAGATAGAAGTACTTACAAATTCAAAATAAGTAGATTAAATGTAACAAATTGTCAAATCACATTAGAAACAGATGAGACTCTAGAAAATATGGAAGATGCTCAAAAAGACGAGAGAGAGAGAGAGAGAGAGAGAAATGGAAAATAGTATCGGCCCAACGGTTTCATTTCATTGATTTAAATAATTCAACGGTCTAAACTGAAATCGAGAGGTTAAAAGAACACAGAACTGACAGAGAGAAGTAGTTAGGAGTATTATTAGTTTGAGCTATCGAATATACCAGAACCAATTAAAAGGTAGATAAAAGAGCAAAATAGAAAAGAAATAAACAAAAATAGATAACACAAAACAAAAATAAACTTCAATTTTCATTGAGATTACAACTTACAATTAAAATTTTTTTTTTTTTTTTTTTTTTACTTTTTGCCTATGCGAAAATTCCTTACAAAAATAGTCTGATAAAATTCGGACACTTAGTTCTGTCTTTTTGTGTGATTTTTTTTATTTGTTTGTTTGTTCGTTCATGTATGAGTGTTAAGTGTGCCTTCTTTGTATGGAAATTATACTCTTTACACATGATAAACTGTGTCGTCAACAATATCAAATGCGTTAGTTTAAGTATTTTGTTCGACTGGGAATAGCAAAATTTTAATGGCATGATATACGCTGCATTTCATTCACTCAACGTGTTCAATTGTTCAAACAATTTCATTTTATTAAAAAAAAAAAACATTGTCATCATTAGAAAAACTACGGCAAAATTTATACACAGATCATTGTTCATTTTGGTTGTTATAATATCAATTTTCGAAGTCTTGGAATAAATAATATCGAACATTTAAAATATGCTCATTTACGTTGCTAGATCACATCCATGTTCTTTATGGACTTTCCAGTCGGGTCGGTTCCACTCACCTGCATCAAATTCCAAATTATCAACATATCCCGTATCACTATGGCTTGGTTGTGCGGTTAAACGATTACCTAATGAACTGAACGTCGCGGGAATATTTTGACATCCGTACCACCAATGGGCGACCGGTCGTGGGAATGGTGGATTGGCTGCATCAACCTAATGAAACGAAGCAAAACAAAGCAAAAAAAAAAGAGAAACTGATTAGATTATGTGCGAACGATAATAATAAAGAACGTTGCTTTTTGTTTGTGATTTCGCTTGCCTATTGATAACAAAAAAGAAGGTGATTCTACTTACTGAGAATGTTCGATCGTTGAATCGATAGTATTTGTCACCTTTGAAGAAGTATGTGTAACCATTGGTGTACTGTAGAGCGGCATCAATATTGTTTGGCACACCTTCCCAATTTGACAATGGTTTTGGATATGTTGATTTCACTGGTGGTCGTTTCAATGGGTCGAATCGCCAAAATTTGCTACCTTTGTAGAAATAGATTTTACCATTTCCTCCCCATACGAGAGCTGCATCTAAATTGTCTGGAATTCCAGTGAATCCGTCGCTAATCTCTTTTGGATAATCACCATCCATTGTTCGTCCCGAGTATCGCCAGTATTGTGATCCTTTGAAGAAATAGGTTTTACCATTTTTATATGTGAAGGCAGCATCAATATGTCCTGGAAGTCCTGGCCATCCATCTGATATGCGTTTTGGATATCCTTCAGCAACAGCATTTTCGGTTAAACGATAATAATTGTTGCCTTTGAATGCGTATGTATTTCCATCAGCCGTATTGAACATTGCATCGACCTTTGGATCTGAACACAATTCATTGTCACCACTGGCTGGTCGGCTGGCCGGTCGATATGATGGACGTGGAACCGGTGCACTATCACTGTCCGTACCCGACGCAGTCTTACGTCCGTACAATGCTTGAATTCCCTATTTTGATATAATTTCGTTATGATATCGCATGCTCAATTATAAATGATCCAAATGTGGAAAAAAACTTGAAAACATTAAACAATACAAAATTATTCTTAACTTACTTGAATGTCGTCTGAATCTAATCGGAAAACTGGATCGAAACCACGGTAAAATGGTGCCATCAATGCTGATCGCACATCTGAATGGCTCAAACCCAATGAATGGCCAAACTCATGTGCAGCTACTTGGAACAAATTTGTACCTCGACTGCTACCAATTGTCCAAAATTCTGCATCATCAAAATGAGCATCGCCACCATAAACTGGGAAATATGCATGAGCTAGAGTGCCACCGGGTCCATCGAATGGATCACCATCACCATGTTCATTTTCTTCAAACCGAATTTCGATATGAACGGGATTTGTGCGTTTTGCTGTGAATGTTAAATCGGTATATTCACTCCAAACATTGAATGCACGTGCAATTTCCTTATCAACTTCTTGATGATTCAATTTCTTTGGATACTTTGAAATGCGATAGGTTAAATTCTTCACCTTCCAGCGGCTACCTTGCAATGCGTATCGTTTTGATCGTGAATCAGTGCCGAAGCCGACTTTATCTTTGACACCACATCGTGGAAGTGACATTAACTCCATGGTTTCCGGATCCAAGTTACCTATTCATTTGAATTCAATTTAATTGATGAAAAGACATACAAATCGTTGCATAAATTACCTGTGATATTAACACCGGCAAAACTTTGGAAATCCATGATTGCTTTGTTCCATGTGCTTTCATCGAGAAGACCTCCGCTGGCAGGGTTTCTGGCTGTGGGTGGCAAGTATCCAAATTGTGATAGATAAATCTGAAGACGAAACGAATCGAAATTAGCAACAAAGAAGCAATCCAAGTTCATTCAACTTATTTTGTGCATAAAATCAATGTGATTTGTTTTTTATTCAATGATGAACGGATGACTCGTTCGACTCTTTTTTTTTTCTTCGTTCATATGCAGTCTTTTTATCCATTCCAAACATTTTTTGATACAAAATAAATCGGAGCCGAGGACAAAAAATTGTATTACGTTAAAAACAGAATAAAAATCATTTGATAAACCCAAACAACGATCAAAAAGAAACACAATGCGCGTGCCTTGAACAATTGAGGAATGAGCGAGCTAGATAGAGACCAACGATATATTATGCTATTTACACGAAACGCGTACCGAATTCATTAAAATCGTTCGTGTATCGCCAAAGTAACCATATTTGCATGTGTATTTATAAAAATGGCATGTGTAATTTGATTGAGTGGTTGAGTTTTTGGCAGCCGTTCATTGTTGTCACCAAAAAACAAGCATATACTATAATTTAATAACGTTTTTTTTTTGTTATTTTGAAATTTTGTGTGGCGTGCCCATTTCCATCGATATACACATATATATATATATATCTAAGGCATTCCGTGGCATGCTGTCCTGGCTCGCTTTTATTGCATTCTTCAACGGAATATTACTGACCATTGACCGATGTAAAAACAGCGTAAAGCGCACAGAAATAAATCTTTGTAACCAAGCTCATACATTCTTTTTCGCATACTTTCGTTTGGCAAAACGAAAAAAAAAACACAATCTTCTGGGACGTCGTTTATTTTTTTCTCAAAAATTTAATGTTTGCATTTTGAATGTACGACTTTGGCGCTTGCATAAAATATAGAAGTGTGAATCAAATAAAATATGGAAAAAGAGGTTAGCGACCTGATTAGTCACAGTACCATCAATGAATCCACTTATCCAAATCCGTTGATTTGAGTAAATTTCATGGATTTTTTTAAGAAATGTCATTGATAAATGCACAAAAATCAAAGCGATTGAAAAATTGTCTAGACACTTGGTTGGTCGTGACGAAAATGATCAGTTAAATGTATATTTACAATCATATGCTTTATGTCATGATAACTACGCAATTTTCAAGACCATTTTGGGAAATGTATTCAATATCAATCAAATTGAAACAGAGTCGATTGAAACAGTTTTTTTTTATTAGAGTCAGGTGATTCGACGATAAAACACAATTGCTTACCAATGAAAATTTACATATAATATAAATCGATGAACAAAATGCGAAATAAAACCGCCAAGACGAATTGGAATTTCCGATTTCATGGCCATTTTTCAAGCTGGTTTACACACTGTTGTACCAACTGACAACAGAGAGAATCAAACAGCAATAACCAGCAAATCAATTTACAGTGATATTTCACAGTAATGAAAGAAAGTATAATTTTGTGAGCTGTTCGATTGAATGTGATTTCCAAGATAAGGATGATTCAATAAGATTCATGGATTTAAATGTATTACTAGCAAGTTTTTCTCTCGCTCGTTCATTCGCTTGCTCTCTGTCTAAATATGCTTTTTTTTGTTATTATTATTTTCAATATTGTTGTTGTCGTGATGTCCGTCAAATTGCGCAGCATTGTTATACTTTATCCATGAATTATTTCCACGTTTTTGGAATTATTTATTTATTATATCGAACGATGAAATTGCACTCATAATTAATTCATCGACAGTGCAGCCAAATGAAACATTTATAACTATTAATTACTCAATAATAATTATTGCGATTGATGCTCGAGCGTGTGCTCATCAAGTATCATGCGAAATGTTGTGAAAAACACTAACCGTCACTACCGAAACGCATTCATTTTGATTACATTTTAATAGATTTGAATAGAGTTGTGAGAGACAAACAGGGGAGAGCGAATAAAAACAAATAACAAAACAATTACAATGGAATAGATTTTCTGTCCCGGGGGCGAAATACTTAAAACCATGCAAATTACATCCCATTTTCGACGAATTCATTCAAATGAAAAACGAGAGTTCGTTCATACATACTTTTCGCTGGGGTCATTACGTCAGTGCATGCAATTCAAAATCCAGACATTGTAATTAAAACAGTGAGCTGCACAATTTTCTCTATTTTTTTGGTTGGTTTTGTTTGCAATTGATTTTTGCATGTTATATGCATCGTTATGGCTTGTACTTTAGAAAGGTTAAGCGCAATTTGTGTATTTTCATTGATTTTAACGTGCACGAAAATTGAAATAGTACAAAGCAATTTACACTATCATTGCAAACAAATTATCATAAAAGATTCTAATCTTGATGCAATATGGTTCGAAATTATTAAACAACAAGTTAACACGGCAAACAAGGAAGATATATGCCTGAATCATAAGTACATTCTCGATTCGTTTGTCATACAAAATAACAAATAATTTCGAAAACATTTGTTTTCTTCGAACGATATTATATCGATGGCTTGGGGCTTTTGATACTTTATTCTAATATGGTGTACATTGCTTGTGGTGAAAAACTGACTCATCCACTGAAAATATTTGCCCGTGAAAAATGTTGTGGAATTTTTTTTTATTTTTATTTTACTTAAATTCACATGAAAAGTATTCATTATACTGCAGCAAAAATCATCCAGATGGCGTGAAAATTGAAAGATATGCACGAATTTAAATCAATCTAGAATTTTCGTATTTGTTTTTTGATTTGATGAAATTATGCCAATATCGACTGTTTTATTAACATTTAATCATTCTATTTTGCCGTTAAGCATATATATATATTTTCTTTTTGTGAAAATTGGCTCGGAGGGCATCTTGAAAAAATACTTTCTAAAGGTTTTTTGGCATGCTGAAGCCGAATCTTTGGGTTTTAGGTCAAAAAAATCAGGGGTTGAGGGGTTATGACCCCTGACCTCCCTAGGGGGTGGGGGGAGTTGGAGGGCAGCTGACCCAAAAAATTTCTCTCATCATTCTGAACAACTTTGTAGAACATAATTTTTTGATCCGATTATAAAATCGACATCAACAAAAACAAAATTGTAAAAAAGAAGAAGAAAACGATCATTTTTGCCATTTTTTGTATGAAAATCGTATCAAAACGTTATTATATCGCAAAATAAATGTCAAAAATAGATTCCTCGACCCCGAAAACCCCCACATACACATTTGGCTAGAGAAAAAATAATGTGTTTTTGTCTTTTTCATACAACATCCAAGTCGATTTTTAAATATTTTGGAAAATATCTTGAGAGAAAAATTGGCTGGCTCGAAATTCATTTTAGACATATGGTTCCTTGGGCAAAAATGCTTGTTAGGACCCTTAGAACCAGAATCGCGATGTGGACTTGATACAAAAAAAGTTGACCACCCTATTATATATATATAGCATCTAATACAAAATTGACGCTACGTTTGCTCCGAGAATTTTTTTTAATGATTTCAGGTAACAGCGTAAAAAACAAATAACTATTCAATTATTTACATGTAATCGCGTTTCCAAAGTGCCAAATAGAAAAATCACCTATTAATTGACGATTTAATGTTCAATTTTATATTCCATTGGATGTTTATATTCAACTTTACATGATTGTGATGCAACGTAACAAATTTCCATCGATTAATGAGGATCAATGAAAAACACACACACACACACACACTTTTAACGAGCAACGGTACGTAGCAGACAACAAAATACAACATGCAATCGCATTATTCGAGATTTGGTGGCGAGATGAAACACTTTTTCCATGAAATCTTCGTGGACATTTTTTTGAGGGGTAATTCCGTCGAATGACGTTGAATTTTTTTCCAGGCATCTGAATGCAATGAAAAAATAAAACGAAATTTTGTTTACGCGACACTTGTTTTATGGTATGCCGCTTGTTTTTTTTTCTGCTTCAAATTTTTGTAGAAATCATTTTAAATTTGAATTTCTGATTTCGGAATATTTCATGCTAATCGACCTTGTCGATTACAATACAAATTTTAATGGAATTGCGATACACATATATCTCTATGTGTATATAATTGATTCCATGCTCCGAAAAATTTATGAGCCAAATGGACGGTTTGGCTTTGCTTCAATTCAAATTGAAATCGAAGTAATTCTCGACGGTACGTGAACAATGTTGAATGAATATTAATATCAGCTGATAAAAATGTGTAGGATCACTTCGTTGTGGTTTTTGATTCGATATTCCATTCAAACACAAGCATGATATGCTGAAAAGTGTTTGCTTTTTTTCCCCAAGCTGGTTATAATTAGTATAGGTAAAGTACGACAATGAACTTAATGATTTCAGACTACCGCTAATTGTCAATATTATTTAAATCAACGTGGATTCGATAGCAAATCTCACTCAAAGCTCACAGTGTCGTACCGACTGGTGCTTGTTTTTTAATTGGACTCGTAATTTGTTTAAAAAAAAACAACAACGATCAACACGAATCAATGCGCATGTGATGTCTATCATATTGTTCACATTTATTGATCGATCTGTTTGGAGAGATTTACATTTGATGCGACGATATTTGCAAATATAGGAAAAATGACACACATGTTTGACGTCTATTACACTGGAATGTAAACAAAAATGCCTACATTGTTTCTATTAGTAGTTGCAAATGAGCGCGGCCGCACATTTTGATATGAAAATTTTAAAGACGCATTTGAATTCGCTTATTTTTTACAGCCTCAGAAAAATGAACAACAATTAAATGATAATCGCTTTGAAGCGGTCAATTGACAGCGACAACGCAACCAGTAATATCGCATACCGTAGAATCCAACAACGTGTCAAATAAATTGTTATAAAGCATTTAAATGCAACACGTAGTAAATAATTTATATGAAATAAAAAAATATTAGAGCGGTGTTTAATTTATCCTTCGGCCAAACACCTCTTCCTTGCAAAATGTATTTGAATCGGTATGGTACACCCGGCACATTGACACTCTTTTCATTTTAATAAATTTTGATTCGGCAGAAGTTTTTGAAAAAGTTGA